AGGAAGGAGGAAACACATTAGAAGCTACACTAGACTAGTCACCCACATCAGCAGTTAGCAAACTTTACCACCAATCCATGAATTCATAAGGAGTATATGGAACTGAATGAAATCATGATTATCATTAGAAATTCTGCACAGCTGCACACCTTAACTAATCAGAATTCTAACAAGAACATTCAGTCTTATACTCTGGTGATCCAAAACTCTGGGGTAAATGTTTCTTTTTTCTTCCTGCTGTACATGAGATCACCATTGTATTACATAAAAGATGCTCTACAGTATTAATCACTACTATGGACTAGAAAACCTTCCATTAACTTTGATGGTATAAAGCAAATGTTTTAAAATCATCTAAAAATATTATCAATCATTCTCCATAATATTCTACACCTATATCTTCTTTGCTGTAAAAATTATTATGACCCACGTATGTATTTTTCTGTATTTTTACAAACTGTAAAAAATTCTTAAGTTTGTGACTCAATGTACAGTATACTTGAAAAATCCATGAACATCAGCTCACTTAATGTTTCGATTTTGAGAGAAGTATCTGTTCAGACAGTACCACTAAAACTTAAAATTGCGAGATGTTTTGAATACAGAAGGGATATAATGGTAGTCAATAGAAGCAGTTAACTTCTCAGTATTTGGTATGTTAATTGGGGATGCACTGTTAAGTATGAGAAGATAAATTATGTCATAGCTATACAGTTTAAGTGTGCTAAGACAAAAGGGAGTGACCTACAAATTTCTCCTGGGAGAGATAAATTGAAGTTTATGTTGTTCTCAATTTTGGTGAGGGGAGGCTAAGCTTGTTATCCTAACCATAGGCCATAGAATTTGGAGAATGCATTTAACCCCATTGTATAGAGTAATTAATGTTCTGGATTCCAAATCTCTCAGATGTGGATTTTAGCTCACAGCTACACATGGTAAGGTGGGTTTCAGGGTCTTTGGTAGACATGCAGTACAGTATATCTCTTCATTAAGTCATGTTAAGACTTCCTCCACTATCAACCCTGCTCACGGCCTACTCCACCGCCGGCGGCCTTCACTACTGGTGTAGTGCCTACCGGGCCTGCCCTGGTGTGTCCTGCTGCCCCCGAGCGAAGTCCTGCCCCATCCTCACAACACTTGGTGCCTCAACCTGTCCACCACCCACCGCAAGCCGCGCCCGTGTCTGAGCTGTCTCCACCAGGGCTACCTGGACCTGAGGACACTACCCCCGGCTACCTGTACCCCACCGACATGTCGACGAACACACCTTCACAATCACACTAAAAGGTGTGTCCCTCAATGTTGTCAATGCCTATGTGCCTCCCTCCACCCCTACTGTACCTGCCCCACCACACCATATCACCTCCACCCCCACTGTACTTCGCCACGCCTAGTACATTGGCAACCCTGAGCCTGGCCGCACTGTTTGTAAACTTTGTGGTCAACAGACTCTCACACCCTCTTTCACCACATCCTCATCTGCCCTATGACCTCCCCCTACAGGGGTGGCACCTCTTCCCTCCCTGACCAGATATCCCTCCTCCTAGTGACAGGCCTGGCACTTGACATTATTAGGGACCTGCCACATTTTGCCATAAACAGATAAATTGTACCGGGAATTTTCCCCCCACACACTCATCATTGTCACTTTATGTAACTTGCTGACAAAACCCATGACCCTTCAGGCCTTTTACGCCCTTAATGCATGAGTCATAAAGGCAAGCATGAACTCCGCATGCTTCCCAGTTGGGCACTGTAAACGCTTCTGCGCTTCACCTTGCACAGGATGTAAGGGGGGGTGCCCAATAAACTAGCCCCCTCTGGGGCAATCTGTAATCTGTATCAACAGTAGGATACAGTGTAAAAGATGTCAGCTTTTATATTTTATATAACAGGTCATTAGAATTAGAAAATGCAGTTTTTAGACAAAAAATCCTTTGTACAATCAATAATTTTCTAAAGATAATTATCTAAAGAAAAATATTAATAAATTTAGAAATATGCAGTAAATAATCACTATCTGTTTACACGAGGATCACAACAAATAAAATCACTGCCAAAGTCAGGTCGGCTTAGGTCAGGTCTATATGAACCTAAAGGAAAAAAATTCACCATATGATACAACCATTACTTCATATCAAAGTTCTTGATAACCTTTTAATATCAAGAGTGAGTAAGGATGTCACATACTTTAAGGTCATATCTTAAACAGCCAATTTACTACTTAAAACAAAAATGCATATACAAAATGGTTGCATGTACTGTAGACTAATATAATCTATATTGAAGATCAACTTATGGTTCAAAACTCTCTGCAGGACACACTACCACAGTGACAAGGAAGATATACTATTCCACAGTAGTGATAAATGCTCAAATAACCTCAACATTCTGCTTTAACTTACACCAATGCCAGGGCCGCAGCCACTCACACCACCACCAACATTTCCATGCTCCTGTGTACTACTACCTCTCATGACTAACAATATGTTTCTAATTACTCTATTTAAAAGAGAAAGTACAGGGAATGCTACAGTTTAATATGTCCCCTAAATTTATACTTGACTGTACTTGTAACAAACACAGTACTATAGTAGACACATATGGGTGGAGATATTGGTGTGCAGGTTGAGTGTATATTGAGCGGCGGGTACTCCTCCCTCACCTATGCTCCTCGCTGGGTGGGTGCGTGGCGAGGCGAGGGCAGAAACAGAGTAGGCGTAGCCAGGGCAGGGGCGGGGCAAAGGTAAGACCACCAGGGAAAACGGGTATACAAGAGAAGAGGGTTATCATACAAGCAATATCATGAAATAATTACTTTTTTACTGTAATACTGTACAGTATATTATACACTACCATCATTAGTAGCAGCAGTATAGAAAGGACCTTATTAGCAATATCTCTGTTAGCCAGAATCCCTCAAACCCGGAACTCTCACAATGCCGGAATTTAAATTTTCTCGGAAAATCTTTCCCAAAGCCGGATTTTTTCAGAAAATTCCGGCTTTGGAAACGATTTTCCGAGGGGTACATTTTCTGGAAAATTCCGAGAAAATTTTTCCATTACCCGGAAAATTCCGGGGATGAGGGATACTTTTTCGTCTTTGAGAGAGTCGTCTCGTTACCTAGAAATTTCTCATTCCCAGAAGTGCTCTGCACCAATTATTCTGACTAAAGGAGATATCACTATACAGTACTTTAACTGTGTTTATGTATCCAGGATCTCTACCTTCTTAGCCGATTTATAAGAAAAAAATATCAAACACTTAATTTAATATTTAAGCTGGACAAAATGCATCCAATTTCAATAGCTCTGTATTTAATATTAGTGAAAGATGCTGACATTGCTGTAATACCTAAAGCTCGTTAACTCAGAGTGTGGTTGTTGTGTTGGCACCAGCTACTACATCTTAAAATAATTCCTGCCAAGGTGACTCAAAGGCTTGCCATTCTTGAATATTTTCTAAAACTCATTGTAATCATTTACATGCAGCATATACTCCTCACCGAAGTAAGTTTGTCAGATAACAACACAAATACTCAGAAAGCTGCATCGGTTTACTCTCTCTGAAGTAAAAAAATATAAGAGATGCTTTAACAATGGTAATAAGAGCCACTGGAAATGGTGCATCTCCCCTACCAATTTGGCTGTAACTTTAAAATAATGAACTAATACTGAAGTGGGTCCAACAATCTCAAACAGGAATCTGCTATAATACATTTTTGCAGTAAAACTTAAATTATTCAATGTACAGTCCCAGACTGAAGTTCTTGATACAGTCAAAGTGGAGGGTGCAAATCCATCCCACCCTTACTGGATGGCGGGTCGCTGTCAGTGATGTAAAACTTGATTGAGTAAATTGTTTTGCGATTTTATTAAACAAAACAATGACATCCTTTCCTAGGCCTTATTGAGAAATGGGAGTATCAGAGCTCGATTGTTGAATTGGGAGGGTGATGGCCAGACAGCGACCTACCGACCTACGACCTACCGTCCAATAAGGGTGGAGCGGACTTTGCACCCTCCACCTTGACTGTATCACGAATTTTGTTCCGGGACTGCACGTTAAATAAATTCAGTTTTACTGCAAAAATGTATTATGACAGATTTCTATTTGAAACCCAAACTTGTCATGTTGAGATGGACAGCATCAATGTTACATCTACCTAAACTTTAACTCTGGGAAAGCAAAAGTAGAAAGAAACATGAAGAAAAATATACACTAAAACATAAAGATGAAAAGTAAAAAATAGATATGCCACCATAGAGAGTCTTTAAAGGATAACTAATATTTTGAGAATATTGTTGGGCACAAGTGATAACTGAATGTCACTTTAGAGAAAAATTAGATACAGTATAACAATGAATTAAGACTTGGCATCTCTTGTAGCTTACTAATGAGACTGAATAATATGATAATAATTCTTAGTGTTCATATCACTAATACAGTAATGACTTTTGTCAGGAAACTTTAAATGAAAAGAAACAATCAAGGATAAGTTGTAGTAGCAAGCCAGTAATCAAAAGATACTTGATGATAAGAGATGTTGAACTAGCACTGACTAACTCCCAGAACTGTCAGAGTACAGCTGACAAGGGGAAATGTATATCTAATGGAAAAGAAGAATAAGGAGGTTTATCATTATTAGAAAGATATACCATAAATGGATGAGGCATAAATTTTCACAAGATTGTATTCCTTAAAATATAACAATATCTTTAAGATCCACTTGGTATGGAAATGTGTTTGTGAGACCAAAATTAAGTCATCAATGGGTGGCAAGAACTTCAAGAAAGAGGAAATCTTCTTTTTGATGTTCCTATAATTCGTAGTCCTACGGACTATCATGACTTCTTTCGTGTTTGAGCAGAGGCGGAGGAACACTGTAGCACTTGTCCACTACACTTTTATGAAATGATAAAGATCATGAAGGAACGATGTGTTTACATCTGAATTGTCAATAATAGTGAAAGACTGGGGGTGAGATATAAGGCATTACCTGTCCTGGAAGTAGCGGTGGCAACCTAGTGCCACCATCTTCATGACAGACTCCAAGATGAACACTGCTGTGAAGAAGTAATTGAAGATTTGCAGGGCATATTCCAATTCCTAAGAGTAAAAGGAGAATGTCATTAGGTAGCAATAGAGACGACAGCCAGAGTAAAATATTTCCATTACTGCATAAAAAAAAATGCATTTTTCCAATACCTTTGTAACAGTCAGCATACCTTTGGCATTTTGTAAAATTCCATGGCCATTGTAACAACATTGAGGCCTATGACAGCTGCTATCGCCAGGTCAAAATATTTACTGGTGACGATGTTGTGGATGAAGAGTCGGGCCTTGGAGTACTGACTGTAATATGGAGGCTCACGCATCTCTGTCAGGAAGGAAGCAAGGTTAATGATCATTAAGTTAAATAAAAAAATTCATTATTGTATTTAATGAAGAAGGAAGCCTATAGAAGTAACATATTCACAAAATATATTTGCTAAAAATGAAGGATTGATCATGAGATCACATTTGAGAACTTGAGTAACTCATTATACAACAGCTGAGTCTACGGGCTTAGTATGTGGTCACTGTAGTAAGGTGGTCACTTTAGTCTTTTCTTTGGTGTTCTGTTTCCCTCACTTATAGATGTCCATTATTCACTTTATGCACAAATGTATCCTGTTCACACTTCTTAACCTTGTAAATCTCTCTTCTGACTCTGCACTTGGCTTGTCACCTTCCAACTTTATAAAATGTTTTTTTTTCTTTATCACCCTGTTTACTTCATCATTTCACCACTATGTTACTGCATGCCTGGGTGAGCCCTTCATTCAACCACACATCTTGTCAGCAGCACTTAATCCTCTTGGTTAAGTTCAGTCATACTAGAAACCTAACCTTCTTTTACCCACTTTTACCCATTTGGGAAGTTTTCAAGAACGTAACCCTTGTGAATAGCTATACAGAGTCGAGTATTTTAACCATTTTTCACTTCAAATTTTTTATGTCTTCAGTATAAGTTCTGAGTTTACCCTTGACATATAAAACACCCAAATCGAAAGCAATTACACTTCTTATGCAAAAAGTAGTACAGCAAGCCCCCGCTTTACGCGGTTTCACTTTTCGCGTTTCCACGTTTTCGTGGTACCCTGCCGAAACCGGAATGCTCACTTTCCGCGGTGTGTGTACCCTTTTACGCGGGAAGCGGCGCGGGCAGGGTGCGCACAAGGTCGCCCAGTCATCAAAACATTACGGAGTTCTTCACCCGCCACCCACCACAGCCGGCCCAAGTCAGTGATAGTGATAATGATAGTGAGGATATGGACTTATATGGACTTTGAGGGGTTTGACAGAGGCCCTGCAAGCCTCTGTGGTGGATAGTGATACAATTGATACAAGTGATACAGGTGAGGGCCAATAATCTGCCCTCTGCCTCGGAACCAACCCCCCATCCCCGTGTGCCCAGCCATCTTTTCTACTAATGTAAGTGTTAAAAAACCTAATATTATTGATATTTCTCTTAATTATTAATTGTGTGTGCATACCATCATAAAATTAAGAAGTTATTTTTACTACAACGTAGGTATTATGTCTGAAAAAGTGGAGTTTGGGGGTCGGCCCGGTCTCTATTTCAATTAATCCCATATGTAATGTTGTTCACTTTACGCGTTTCTCACTTTACGCGGGCCGCCATGGGTTCAATTGACCGCGTAAAGTGAGGGTTCACTGTACATACTTTATGTATGACTTCATAAATTTATGCCACAATATAATTCTAACTTAAGATAATTTAGCAGTTTGTAATGATTCCCCTTTTTCTAGCTAAAATTTGTAAGAATTCACACTGTTAATTATTCATTTAATAATATGTAATTTTCTTTATGTTATAAAGCTAATAGCAAGAAAAAGTATATGCCCTATCACACTACATATCCCAGTACAATACTGTACTACAGTTCTGTGTTCTGTTGAAAGAAATACTACAACTAATTAAATAAAACTACAGTACCACAATTAGTGTAGCTACTGTCATTACAAACCATTTCATGTTCTTTGCTTGAGACTCCATATTAAGCACTATAAGTCTCTTATACTGTACTGTACTCTCCTGATCAGTGAATGAACTAAAGGGATAATCAATACAAAACCCTCACAACATAGGTTAAGACACATATCAACTCCGAAAACACCAGCATACAAGGCAGTGTGATCCAGATGAAGCCTTCGTAACACAATCAACAGTTAATATTAGCACCCACATGATGGTTACAATAAAGTAATTGCTTGTTGTTGCAAGCAATTAAGGATTACCTGTAAGTCACAACATGCAATCAAAAAAAGTTACTACATGCAATCAAGCCCTTTACTTAGTTGGAGCTTCATGTGTTTTAATTCTCTTTTTCGTCTCCTTCTTCTCCGGATTTCAGCATCGATGTCCACCGTTACTGGATCAATGCCAACAGCCTCCAGACTTTTTATTCTTTCTTCTCGGAATTTTTCAATGTCTTATTTTTCAAAAGTGAAAAACACTAAATTTATTAACATGCATTGACATGTAAAGAAGCAAAATATGAGACTACTGTATAGATTACAACAGAATGAATATTGAAATACATTTACCAGAAGATACAAGGAAGTATGAAATTTTATCAATATTAAGAGCAGATTTGACATTCAGTGTAACATAATTGACATGAAAGGACAAAGAGGAAATAATGTTATAATGGTTAAAAAAAAATTAAAATTAATACTGTACTACCAGATTTTGCATATGATACTTCAGCTGACCTGGTAAACAGAGAGATACCAAACAATATTATCAGATTTCATGTACAGTACTGTACTTTTTTCTGTGAAGAACTAAGGTAGATAATAATGACAGTGAAGGGATATATAACAGTAGTCTATATGCAAGCTTGGCTGCCAAGTACACCAGGGCCAAGACTGAAGAATTTAACTGTTAAATAGGACATATGTGTATCCCTTTCATTGATAGAGTTTTAAGTTGTGTGTGGATTATGACATAAGAGGGAGAGAGTTCCATACATGGAAATAGAGAAGAAGGAGGAGGTGAATGATGATAAAGTTTGACAATATGGAATTTGCTTGGAGTACAGATAACATGACAATAGCTGATGAGTGTTGTGACCTGAACTGAAAAAAAGGGAATGATGGACTGACTGTAGATATAGCAGTGGAAAAGAGAAAATAAAAGAGACAGATCATCTGACATGAAAAGGTGTTAAGGAGGAAGCAATTACTTTAATTTTTTTTTGCTTTTATCCTCTTTCCCACTGATTGGCTCATTACCTGCTTGGGCAGTTGGTCATGTGTCTGTTAAGCACTGTTGGCATGTACTTGGTATGCACTGATCTAAATGTGTCTGAACTGCTCCAGTGTTGGTCAAGTCTGTTCTTGAAAGAGCTCACACTCGGTGCTGTCACAACACTCTCTGGCAGATTGTTCCAAGAGTTCGCAATTTTCCTTCCGAAAAAGTTGAACCTCACAATTTTCTGGACTTGTGGCTTCTTCAACCTTGAGATTTGACTCCTTGTGGGACAGGTGTCTGCCAGCTCCAGGCATGTCTACTCAACTGAGTAATGCCCTCTGAGATGCTTATACAATTCAATTAGGTCACCCCTTGCCTGCCTGTAGTATAAGCTAGGCAGTTGCAGTTACAATAGAACGTCGATTTAAAGCGATTCAATTTAAGATTATTGATTTAAAGCGACACCCACAATTAAGGACAACGTTTTAATTTAAAGCGAATCTTTCCTATTTTGCGAGAGTCAATCTGGTGCGTCATATTTTAAAATTCGCGCCTAATGTTTCTCTGGGCACGCTACACTGTCCTAAGGGCAAAGCTGTACTGTACATGTACTCAAAACAATGTACTAAATGATTACTAAAATTCTTGTCTAGTGCAAACTATAGCTTGCTTATACATGTAATCAAATTAATCACTACTGTATCTTATAAGAATTCCAGCAATGTAAATTATATTCTCCCCTGTCACTTCTGTGACATTTTATATACAAAAAACAAAAACTCATCTAAAGGACATAAATAAACAAATAAATACTTCACTAGACCTTCGGCAAAACTGTCAAACATGTCACTTCCCCTTCCTCCCTCTCCCCCCATCTTCCAAGCCAGGGTTTGGTGGTTTTAGGCTTTAAGTTTTTATCTTATATAATATCACAGACTAAAGTTAGGAAAATGTAATTTGCATTGCTAAAATCCTTGCAAGACAGTGAATAATTTTAATATTAACGTCATATATTTTGTACAAGACAAAAAAATTTTAGTCCTTTGTAATAAAATTAATTAGAACATGTCAGTTCAGTGACATTTTATAAGAGCACTAGACCTTGGCATCAACTGTCAAACATATCACCTCACCTCTCCCCCCACCCCCCCATCTTCCCATCAGCTGATAGCTAGTAAACAAACCATTTCACATCCCACAATTTTAGCTGTGTTGATTTATGAGTGTTTGCTTCAACATAATACCTGTACTACAAAAAACAATGTTTTGTTTATTCTAGGAGACTGGCTGAGGTGCATCTGGGTAGACTCTCAGTCTGTTTAGTATTTTGTGTTTCTCTCAAGTACCAAACTAAATTAATCCATTGAAACAACACTTCAATTTAGTGCGAATTTGGTTTAAAGCGACCTCTCTTGGAACGTATCTTGTGTTATATTGACGTTCTAGTGTATTCTACTATCTCTGGATAGCTGAGGTGCCATAGTGCAGGCATCAGTCTAATGGCCCTCCTTTGGACATTTTCCATCAACTGACAGTCTCTAGTATATCTCGGGGACCAGACAGTACTCCAAATGGGGAAGAACCTCACTAGTTTTATTGCTTGATTTACCTTTTCACAATGGCCCGAAAACTTCAGTTCATTGTCAACATACAGACCCAGGTCTTTTTCACCTTCGGTCTCTATTAATGCAGTTTCTTAGTCCTGTTGGGACATTGTGACACGCCTCCTTACCATTTGTACGACTTAGGTACATCCTCTTACATTCGTGACATTGAATCTTAGCAGCTATTTCTTCGACCATTCTTGAAGCTCACAGAGATTTTTCTTCAGGTCTTCACAATCAGTTTTGATCTTAATTTCCCTGATAAACTTGGCATCATTTCCTATCATTTATATGGAGGATTGAAAAGCTTCTGGCATGTCATTTATGAGACAAACAAACAACAATGGGCCCAATACACTGTCCTGTGGTACCCCGCTTGTGACAGGTACGGATGATGATTTCGTGCCATTAATCACCACACACTGCTTGCGGTCATGTAGAAAATCTTCTATCCACGCTAGGACATTTCCCCGAATTCCGTACCCTTCCAGTTTGATTTTCAGCCTTTAGTGGGGTACACAGTTGAAAGCCTTGGCAAAATCTAGGTATATTACCTCCCTGTTCCAGAATATGGGTCCAAATATCCAATACCTTGAGCAATTGTGTTAAGCAGGAGAACCCCGGCATAAAACCCTGTTGGCAATCTTTTACAAGGTTGTTTCGTATTAGATGTTCCACTGCGGCATCTCTGATAATACTCTCAAGTACTTTACATATTATGCTGGTCAGGCTCACCGGTTTATAGTTGTTCGTGGAGTGACGATCGCCCTTCTTGAAGATAGGACTCACATAAGCCACTTTCCAATCACTGGGGACCATTTTTTCATCCAGGCATTTACAAAACAGGGTCTTCAGGGGCTCTGCAAGCTCGTTGCACAACTCTCTTAGCATTCTGGGATGCACCATGTCAGAGCCAAAACTCTTATGGACCTTTAGCTTTGACAGTTTATTTCTAATACCCTCTTCTGTGAAAAAAATGTGGGTCAGTGCTGTTTCGAACAGTCTGTCCTCAAACGCAGGAAATTAATTGCATCCTCTCTTGTTAACACAGGAAAAGAAGCCGATCAATGCCTCAGCTTTATCCTGGTCAGAATCTGCATAATTACCATCTTCAAGCCTCAGGTCAGATACTCCTACTCGCATTTTTAATTTCGAATTTGCATAGTGGTAAAATGCCTTTGGGTTTGACTTGGCCTCACTTGCAACCAGCCTCTGGAACCCCTTTTCAGCCCTTCTACACTCTGCCTTTGCTTGGTTTCTGGCTCTTGCATACATCATCCTGTCTTGCTCATCGTTTGACCCAACCCACGTCTTGAATTTCTGGGTTTTCCTCTTAATTTTGTCGACTGCCGCATGGTTCATGTGTAGGGATCCCCTCGTATTCCTAGAGGCACTGGGTTTGGTCTTGGGTATGTATTTATCGATCAAATGGGTCACTTTACTAGTTATAATATTCAGTGTATTGTCTGCATTCTTGTGCCTTAATGAGTAAGGCCAGTGGATACCCCTCATCCTGTTGTAATTTCCCTTGTAATATTTGCACCTTGGCCTGGCCTTATCTTGATCTAGGTAACAGTTAAATCTGAATGACAACACTATATGGTGACTGGTGCCAACTGGGGTAAGGTGTTCCAGTTTGGCCACCATACCCTCCTCGTTCGTTATGATGAGGTCTAGTGGCTTGGGTGTATGCTCCCCTCTGTAATGTGTCGGGTCTCTAACATATTGGAACAGAAAATTATCTCTCAGAGTTCCTACAAAAAGAGTAGCATGGTTATTCAAGTCATTTGGGGTGAACTCTTTTCTCCAGTCGATGTCGCCATAGTTAAAGTCTCCTGCGTTGTCTATTAAGGCTCTCAAGTTCCTTTGAATTAGTGGGCCACAGTTTGGGGATCTGTAGATACACCCGACAATAAGTAAGTCCCTTCCCTTTAATTTAATTTTACACCACTTGGACTCTTCAAAAACATTCTCGCCCTGTACCCTTGCCTGGCTGGCTCTAAGGTCTTGCCTAGCATTGATAACCACACCCCTCTTGCAAGTTTCTTGAGAAAGGTTCGTAAAGGAGTCATACCCAGCAATACTGAACTCATCATTCCTCTGGGTAGATTCTCCTGTTCTTGTACAACATTTCTACAACTCCTACAATATCTGGTTGGTATACCTTCAGTAGTGTTTCAAACTCCTCTCTCTTATCAAGGAACATGTCAGTATTAGTGTACATGACATTCAAGCCAGAATTTGTTCTCGGTAACGTCTCTGCTGTTAGTAGTTACTCCGCCCTCCCTCATTCTCAGACGCTGCAGCATTTACTAAGTACATGTACACTGAATTTTGCAGGGTGTGGTTAGAAATGTCATTGTTTACAAGGAACTCGCCTCCTCCCGGCTGTAGGAGGAGGTGGTGACACCTCCCGGGTGAGGGGTAGAGCAGGTGGAGGGTGTGCTGCTGCCCCCTGGCTTTGTGTCGGCAGTCCTTTACAATGTTGTTTCATAGTAGATTTTCCATCATGGCATCTCCTATAATGCGCTCTAGTACTTTACAAACTATGCTGGTCAGGCTCACTGGTCTATAATTACTAGTGAAGTGATGATCGCCCTTCTTGAATATAGGCCGAAGTGTGCAAACACATCTGCATCGTGTTCAGTGTGATCAACAAGGGTGAGGTCGTCTGCATACTGAAGTTCAGTAATGGAAGCTGCCGACACCTTTGTTCCTGCCTGGAGTCGTCTTATGTTGAAAAGACCCCCCTTCCATCCAGTACTCGATGTCCACCCTGCTGGCGAAATTGGCACTAACACGAGTAAGTAAGGCTGCCAAGAAAATGGAAAAGAGAGTTGGTGCCAGTACACATCCTTGTTTAACCCCCGTTTGAATGGGGAAGAACTCAGACTGGGTGCTGTTGTGCAGGACACTGCCGTTCATGCCATCGCGGAGTTGCCTCACGATGGCGATGAATTTTGGTGGGCAGCCAAAACGGCTTAGGGTCCACCAGAGGGTTTCTCTGTTGACCGAGTCGAAGGCCTTGGTTAGGTTGATGAAAGCCATGTACAGGTCACAATGCTGTTCTGTGCACTTTTCCTGTACAGTATCTGGTGGGCAGCAAAGATCATGTCAGTGGTGCCATGTGATGGTCTAAAGCCACATTGAGATTCTGGGAGGAAGTTTTCCACCTCACAAAGAAGTCTGTTTAGGAGGACTCGGGCGATAGTTGCCACAGTCTCCCGTGTTCTTATTAATATTGACGATAGAGGCGTCTTGAAGACCTTGGGGGATTTCCTCATTTTTCCATATAGTATTCTCCAGGAGAGAGTGGAGATGGCTGGTAAGCAGAGGTCCTCCTGCTTTCTACGCCTTGGCTGGGATTCCATCAGGCCCTGAGGCTTTGTTATATTTCATCTGTTTGATGGCAGTAGCTACTTCATCCAAGGATGGAGGATAGCTGAAGTGGGTCAGTTTAGGATGCTGAGGGACCTGCTGGATAGTCAGGACATCCACATCGGTGTTTCAATTGAGCAGAGAATAGTAGTGCTCTTTCCAGTGCTGAAGGATGTCTTCTTCGTCATTAATTAGGGAATTACCATTGGATGAGCGGAAATTCTGAGAAAATTTTTCCGTTACTCGGAAAATTATGGGGATGAGGGATATTTTCCAGGTTCGAGAGATGATGTCATGAGCAATTTCTAGAACTTCCGAGAACATTTTTTCCGTTTCACGGAAAATTCCGGGAGGAGGGATTTTTTTTCTGGCTTTGAGAGAGTCGTCTCGTTATCCGGAAATCTCTCATTCCCGGAAGTGCTTTGAACCAATTGTTCCGGCTAACGGAGATATCACTGTACTTGTATTATACTTTTTGGGGGGCTTGTGTTGCAGATCAATCAGTCATGAAGCCAAAGATATACTGTATGGTTTATGCCATTAAAAACACTGTGCCCTGTGTCGCCTGCCCTGTGGGCCTCAAGAGATGTGATCTTGTAACTGGAAAACTTTAAACTTATCTCGTACGCAAGAGAGTTAGTCTATAATTCATATTCTATTCCTGTAATTCATTCATCTTAATCTATTTCAGAATATATTCCTATAATGATAATCGACTTTTCGGAACCAGTCGGTTATTTCAGAATCATTCCAAATTTAAATTATGTAATTCATTAAAAGAAGAATTAATTAAGCCAAAATTCTCATTATAACGATCCAAATTAACAAGGGCACAGTGTATACTGTAGTTAGGAATTAAATGAGATTAAGGTCATAATGAGGGAAAGCTACACTTCTATTAGGAATAAAATATGAGGATGAAATGACTGAAAATGAAAATGTGCAGGATATGTGTTGATGTAACTGTCCTGGATATTACAGAACCATAATAGAACAGTTGGAGGTTCCAGGTTTTAGCTGGGTAGCTAGGAGTAGTCTCAGCTACAGTGAGGCTTCTAACATCATTATACATAAACATCGCATATGAATTTACACATTTCTTAACCACTAATCATGAATGCCTTAAAGAGTAAAGTGTTCTGAGGACAATCACAAAATAATAATATTAAATTTCTAGTGACTTACTTCTTCTCTTCTTTTCAAGTTTTTTGGCTCTTTTGGCTGCCCTTCTTGCCTTTTCCTCCTTCTCCTGTTCCTCCCGACACCTGTGGAAGTTCTCTACCACAACACCCACAAACATGTTCAGCACAAAGAAGCCCACCAACAGCAGAAAGGAGATGAAGTAGAGTAGCCGCCACTGTGAGTAATTTTCTATTGGCTAAGGAATATATGCATACAAGTAAATCAATTGAATTTGCAAATTATTATGTCTCTTTTCCTGTTTTATATCAGTCATAAAACAAAGGTTAAAATGTCTATAGCAGAGATCTTTTGGCTGATATTAAGCATGAAAGAAGTTCACTCATTTGAACTACTGTTGAAGGGGTGATGTGTATTTAACTAATCATATCAGATAAATATGGTTTTCATTAAGAGCACTGAGCAGGACAGATGTAGCAAAATTCATCTCAAAGGAACTACTGTACAATACATGGACAGTGCAACAACACTGTGTTCTCACCTGCATGTCCACCCCTACAGCATCCAGGCCAGTATACATGATGTTGACCCAGCCATCCTTGGATGAGAGGACAAAAAGAGACATGAGTGCTTGGCCCAGGTCATCAAAATTGTACTTGCGGTTGAGCCAGAGATTCTCTGGATTACTAACACAATCAGCCTTGGTGACGACGTCCTTAATGTCGGGCCCATCACAGTAAAAGAAGGATCCTTTGAACAGCTGCAGGAACATAACATACTGTATATAATAACTATGTATTTTTGTGACTATTCTAAAATTATCACTATTTAGAAAATTCACTTGTTTAATAAAAGGTATAATGTAGTTTGCTTGCAGTAGTTGTGAAACTAAGAGTCATAACTTATAATAGTTTGCATTTTCAAAATAAAATTTACTACACAATAATCCTCTCATAAAATATGTTAAGATATTGTCAAAGGAAATTTCAATTGAACTAAAAAACCCTGAATAGTTTTAGAATAGATGTGAAGTGGCTGGAACAAGTGAAAATCATCAATACATCTATACTTTATGATCAGAGTAGGATGAGTAGCCAAGAGCACATACCTGAACACCAAGGATGCCAAAGATGATAAAAAATGTACAACAAATGAGGACTATGTTGCCGATGGGTTGAAGTGATGATAATAATGTCTGCACCACCAATTTGAGACCTGGGGCCCTGTTGATCACTCTGTGTGGGGAAAGAGAGAAGTTATCACTATTGGAGAGGAATGACTTAAATTAAAACTGGAAAAATAACAAGACAACAAACATTCATTAGCTCTGTGGCAAACCTGCCAACACTGCAATGAGCAAAAGAGGTACAATATTATGTAGCCCTGAGGGTGAGCAAGGGAGAGGTCCTCTCCTGCCCCCACTGCTGGAAGAGGTGGAGGGGCCCTCCATTATATCATCTGTTAAAACTAGCTATGGTATCCTAAGGAGCATTTTAAATATAAAATAAATTGCATAGAGGACATCAACTTTTTGGACAGCCCCAGTATGCAAAGCTATAATGTATATTTTGAGAGAGAGGAAGAGAAAAATTGTTGAAAGCTTTGTTATGTTGGAATTCCCATAGTTCCAGATCATCCAATGATATAATTCGTACTGTATGATGAAGCACCATACTCCCATGGCCTTTTAACTTTCAGCAAAGATGGTAATGACCACAGCCATTTGTTAATCCCTAGGGAAAAAAACTCACCTGAGAGGTCTGAGGGCACGCAGGAGACGGAAGACTCTGAGGATGCCAAATATACGTGGCGACGTGGTGGCCAGTATAGACATGAGAACATCTACAAAAGAGATGATGACCAGTGACCCATCCATGATGTTCCAGCCTGAACTGAAGTAGGCACCTTTCCCATAAAGTAAACCTTCTGCAGTAACCTGAGAGAAGACAGTGGTCAACATGTGAACTGAGTTTAACTATGGTTATGTGGGAGAAGTAATGAGAAGTTCTATGGCAGATGCAGTGCTGAGAGAAATTAAATTTGTTATTTCATGTTCTTTAATACCGTAATATAGATTTATAAATGGTGAGAAGCTATGATGACATGAAAAACAAAAGTGCAGATAAAATATGTGAGCTTCAGATAAATAAGTAGTGTGAAGAAGGGAGGCGCATGATTACAGGTCAATGAATGGATGGACCTCAAAGGTATGAAACACAAAGAATATCTTGGGCAAGTCAAGAAAAATAGTGTGGGAAAGGATATCCATGAGATGATAAAGTAGAGTAAATATACTGTATATTATAGAGATAAGTAAAAGTAAAGAGAGATTAGATATGAAGTGCAGCAAAACAGAACTTGTTATTTCTTAAAATTATATAATACAAAATTAATAAATTTTGGAAGCCTGAATTAATTAACTAGGATTATTACAGGAATTTGTAGCGACACGCAATTTCAGGTACTGTATCTGACTTTTATTCATAATGGCTAATGTTTATATTCAATTACATTCCTGTTTTTAGGGTAATGTGAAATTAAGATTATCTTTATTGTACAGTATACATAAAGAGAAGGTAAAGTAACTAATCTAGAGTTTTGGACATCTTAACTGTCACTTAAACAAACCTAAGTAACAATCTACCAACTCTAGTCATATACAGTACAGTACAGTACAGGCATCTCCCAGGATATGGAAATTTGTGCTTATGGTATTTGGAATTACTACCAATAAATTTGGGATACAGCCAAAAAAAAATTGTCCTTATGGAATTTGGGTAAATTTTAAAGTTTCTTAAACATAAAAAATGCTATACTGTATATAGAACAAAAAAAAATCATCAAAATTTTATTATTTATTTTGTGTGGATTTCTTGGTGGGCACTACAATACGGCGGACCCATGCCAACGTTACTGGTTTGACTCACACCCCCAGCTTGTTCAGTTTTGAATCTGTGTTACTGTGTTCCCTTATTCAAGAGGAGTGGAAAGAGGCCATCAAGTTCAAGTGAAAGCAATAGTGCTAAAAGAACCCATAAAGGAATTATGTTGGACATTAAATTTGATGTTATAAGGAGGTAACTCCCAGTAACTACGATCGCACCATCTCACCTCAGCACCTCACACAGCACTCAACATCGTTTGTGGTGAGTTAAATTAAAATTTGTGTGCATTTATTATCAAGTTACATCATGAAGTAATCAATGTATGTGTTTAAAAATGTTTATTTTCATTCATACGTATTTTTGTCCAAAATTTTTCTTTGTGAACGCATCTCCAATTATAGAATAGGAGTGAATGGGAAAATTGATCCTGCATTACGGAAACATTTTCAAGGACACATCCATTCCATAACCCGGGGGATGCCTGAACCAGGGTCAAAATTAGCCGAACCTGTGAGTGCAGTTCATTACTTCCTTATGTAGGTGCTGTAAAATAATTTTATGACAAACCTTGACGGTCATCTCTAAGCCAAACACTGCTGTGAAGACATAGTTGAAGATCATAAGAATTTTTCGCTCAACAGAGTCTGGAGGAATGTTAGGCCGTTCCATAGCCAAGGTGATACAATTCAGACCAATGAAGAACAGAACAGTAGAGTCAAACCATCCTCTGGATACCAGGAACAGACTGAGGCGACGAATTCTGTATCGAGGAAAGGAATTTAAGGAACAGGTTAGGGTGTTATGTAGTGATGTTTTGTAATAACACCATTGTAAAATTTCTGAAGACAAATGAATTCACAATGGGAAGTTAAACTCAACTAACATACTGTACTTTATTATGAAATAATAATGACTGTTGAATGTCACACACAATTGCTTTGGATGGTCAACCCATAGAGTTGTCCAGCCAATACGTACTCTGTTCCATAACTTAAGACAGTGAGACACTGGGTAAATTTCCCTCTCTTTACAAGGTTGTGGAGGCCATTGGCTGATCAAGGCCACTGGGGATATGCACATATGGACAAATATTTGCTTAACATTATAAAAAATATAACTTATCACATAAATAAGAAATAGTTGGCTCAAAAGAGGGCTGACTCCCCCATCACACTGCACTGAAGTTCAAAGGCGGTGGCACACTGGGCACTTTTTCTCCCAACATGTTGGGCAAACATGGTCTGGCCAGCAAAACAAAGACTGCACCACACTGGGATGTTTTGTAGGCACGTCTGACCAACACAATGAAAACAACAATAAAGCATCTAGACGAGGTTTGCCGTGGATCCTGTTACTACAGTTGAGGCCTTGCAGGATTGTGCAATAGTTCTTCAATTGCTAAAGCAAGCGAGGCATCTGCAAAAACTAAAGAAAAGACAAAAGGTGCATCGTGAAGTTTGTTTGCAAGTGGCGGCGGTTGGCTGGACAAAGAAGACCCTGAATAATAATTTAATTATACTAAAGAAGTTTTAATGTGATGAATAAATAGAAACAGGTCACCGTTTTATGTGTTATATATTAAATTATTACTGTTTCATAATTTATTTCAATTTTTACTTGAATATTCAACACCTAACATGAAGCTCATTTGAGCACTAATCGCCGCTTGCCGCCAAACCATTGTCCATTTCTCGCAACAGGTGCAATCCTGCTGCTTGCTGGGCTGTCAGGCCAGCGGCCAGCAAAACGGGCAACATGTTGGGAGGAAAGTGCCCAGTGTGCTGCTGCTTTAAGGAACACTGACAGTGGACAATAATGATGGAAATAATGGTTCCCAGAACTGTCTATTGGGCTCTTTATGGAAAAATAAATCTATGAACCAAGTTTGGTTAAAAAGCAAACCAATTACCAGTACAGTAATCTGAGTCATCATGTTCACAATGTTGGATGCATGTACAGACAAACTAAGCTAAAACCAAGCTATCATTCTGTCTTTTACTCATCAATTATAGCTTGAAACTTGTTCAATAATACATACTCTATTGATGGTGCAGATGAACTCCATTTATGGTTTATGAAAATATTTATTACCTTTGAAATCATATAATGTACAGTACTGTACTGCATATGAATAATACATACGGATTCTCAGGTGAGAAGACATAGAGTGAATAGTCTTGTCTTTCCTTGAAGCAGCCCTTAGGTTCAAACACAAAGCAAATCTTCTTAACAGCCTCTGCCTCCGTTTCAGAACCTTCCTGTGCCTCTTCTTGCTCTGCGACAGCAGCTGCTTCTTTCGCACGACTCAGATTGTTTTGTTTGTACTCCAGCTCCCTGATTGACCCACACACAGACGTCTGTAGCCAGAAAAGCCAAGAATCACATAGTTGTATAATAGCCTTGAGAAATATATGTAAATATATCTTTGCTCACAGTGATGTGGGAATATTCATAAATACAGTACTGTAAATGAGTGTCAAGAGAAAGAACTATAATAGCAGTCTATTGTCACAGTTGAAAGAGTTACAGGATGAAATTTGTGGTTAGTAAAATAACTGTTATAAATAACAGATTGGTGATATTGATATAAAACTTCCCACCACTTTCGGCTAAAATTGAAAGTAATGTATGAACAAGACTAATATGTAGTAGGTAGTAGGCAGCTATCAAACAGGGAGGTACTACTGCCTGGGAATATATTGGAAGCATAATGTGCTGCCTAATGGTAGACCCTGCTGCCATATGGCATCACAAAAATTGTGAGCAAGTCCCAGGTTGCTAATCTGTCTTTCTGCCTCATTTACACACAATTGCAGGTCTTAATTGTCTCTCTTACTATTGACAACACAACATATATAACCTTTCTCACTCTTGATCTGTTCTATTCTTTATATTTTTTATTCTCCTATGATATCAGCTGACAATAATATTAAGGAGGGGCCTTCTGGGATGGGTCCCACTGATCGGAAAGGTTGTGGACCCCAGGGCCGACCTGATCATCATCAAACTACTGGGGCCTCAACTGACGTCACTGAGGTTGCTGGAGTGTCGGCTTTTTCCACACTTCATTTTTCCAACATTCGCGGACTGAGATCCAATTTTCCTTCTGAACTTCAACTGACCAAAGAAGCTTCACCCAAACCTTTTCAAGTCTCCAACTTCAACCTTTATACCTCTTTCCGCTCTAAGGGAGGTGTATGGGCCTACTGCAACACACGTACACCTACAGCTCAACTCACAGATCTTGAATATTCTCTTTATGATGTCATCTGGCTCAAAATATCTCTACCAACTTTGACTATTTTTCTTTGTTTTCTATACTGTTTTCCCAACTCTACCAACTATTTGAAGCTCTTTAACTATCTTACCTCTTGCCATGAGTCGTTGCTATCCACAAACCCCAACACTGAGATTCTCTACCTAGGGGATTTCTATGTACTGTACACCACAGAGAGTGGCTTGGCCCTGCAAGGGATGACCCAGGTAGAGCTGAGACACTCTATTTTTCCTTACTTAATGATCTGGAACATATAATAAAAACCCTACAGGTGTTCCTGATCAACACGATCAACTTACTAACATTCATGATCTTTGTTTTACCTCTAACCCCTCACACTATTCATACTCAATTTCTGCCGCCCCCCCACCCAGGGTCTTTTGATCACAATCTAATTTCTATTAAATCAAACTGGACACGACCACCCCCATCTAAACGGCAACTATGGCACTATCGGAGGGCAAACTGGCAATCCTTGCAAGAATTCTTCACTGACTTTCCTTGGGATGAATGTTGCTTTTCCACTCAGGATGCCTCGGTATATGCTGAAAGCATTGCTGGGGTTATACTCAGTGGTATGAGTGCATTTACGTCATATTCTACCAAAACTTTCACTTTACAATCATGGTTTGATCGCTCCTGCTCTCTTGCATGCAGGGAGAGAGAGATAGGGCATATCAAGCTATAAAACTATCTCCTCCAATTACTCACTCCTCTTTCATTACTTCTAGGAATCGCTATAAGGTTATTCTTCGTAAGGCCAAGCGAATTTTATAAAAAGAAAGACCGCTGTCATGACTACCTCTCTTTCTAGTAAATCCTTCTGGTCCTTAACCAAAAACATCTGTAATAACTTCTGCACGCCTTCTTTTACTCCTCTCTTCTGACCTGATAACTCTATAGCCAACTCCCCCACTGACAAAGCCAATATCTTTGGCACCTTATTCTCCTCTAACTCCACCTTAGACGATTTCAACTCTCCCTCCTACCCCTGCTCCTCCTACTGAACCTATGCACTTTCCTATAATCTCTACTCGTAGGGTTGTCGGTGTGTTATCCAGGTTGGATGTGAATAAGGTGCATGGACCGGACGGAATACCCCCTCGTGTTCTGAGGGAGTGTGCTGAAGCTCTGGCCCCTGTTCCTGCTCGCCTCTTTCGCCTCTGCCTCAAAACCCAAACTTTTCCATCTTCTTGAAAGCATGCCTCGGTTCAGCCCACCCCAAAGAAGGGTGACCATTCCAATCCCTCTAACTATCGCCCCATTGCCCTAACTTCATCCCTCTCTAGGATTTTCAAAACTATTTTAAACTCTTATTTTCTCCGTCACCCTGAACGCTTTTCTCTTTTGTTGGATCACCAGTATTGCTTTCGCCAGGCGAGATCTACTTGTGTACAAAGAAATGTATATTCTCTCTATGTGTTTGCCCTTAGGACAATTATTTCTTTTATATATATATATATATATATATATATATATATATATATATATATATATATATATATATATATATATATATATATATATATATATATATATATATATATATATATATATATATATATATATACAGTATGTGTGTATGTGTGTGTAGACACACACACACACACACAAAACACATACAAATTAATAATAATGGGAAAATACTCTCACAAATAATAAGAAACAACTATGTTAAAAATGTGAGTCTACCCTCAAGTCCGTACTTTATTAAGAGTTTTATCAAGAGTTTTTGCCTCACAAAACAATAACAAGATGCCAACTTATGCATCTCTGGAACGATCGAATCTTTTAGGAAATGCTCTACTCATAGATTGGAACCGTTGGAATTCAATCTACCTGTTCCCACCTGTGAAAATGTTGCCCAAAGTGGTTCACAAACTCAGATCCTTCCAAGGCAAGGTCCTCTTAACCGTGGTGTCTGGATCTGTTGGACTGGTGCCCGCATCCACTACAATTGCAACAAGGATGTCTAGACCAGGTACTGCACCTTCAGTTCGAGATATCCTTGGCACTTCACGCTTTGAGTTTCTCAAAAGATGTTTAAATTGATAGTTGAGTAATTCAAATATAGTTAACCAAGTGATAGCAGGACATAGACCCCAAACTTCTATGCAATATGAGAAAGCTTGAAAACTTTTTCAACAATTTATCAGGTTAACGACTTCAATCATATTGTCGGAAAAAGTGGTGGTAGAATTTTTAAATTTTCTGTTCAGAGTTAAAGGCCTTCAAGGAACTACAATTGCATCTCATAAATCAGCATTGGTTGACCCTCTGTTAAAGGGTTTTAATATTACTTTGAACCCAAGAATTTATCAAATGAACAGATCGTCCTTTTTCATTCAGAGACCCCCTCGGCCTAAGAGAATCCCACCTTGGTCTCTAGATAAAGTTACTAAATTTCTTATGGGGCCTAATTACAATATAAATCTGAACTGGTACAGATTGCTCCAGAAGGCAGCCTTCCTTCTAGCAATAGCAACAGGTATGAGAATCAGTGAGCTAATTTCAATTTCCAATAATCCATCATTATTGGTATTTTCTGAGGAAGATGTCACCCTTTTTCCTACGGAGAATCTAAGAAAAAAATGAAAGGGAGGATTTTCAAGCTCAACCTATCAGGATAAAACGGCTAATGGATGAGATAAGGGTTCCTCACATATTGTGCCCCGTTCAGAATCTTCAAGAATGGTTAGCCAGATTCCCTAATCGAGGCCCCTATGTATTCTCATCACAGGATGGTAAGAAATTGTCTCCTAGTCAAATGACAAAATATTTATTTCAGTTAGTGAGTCAAGCAGACTCTGGCAAGAAATTTTTGGCACATGACACCAGGAAATATGCAGGGTCTGTGGCCTTTCTGCAGCATATGAGCCTCAGTCAGATCAAAGAAGTGGGCTTTTGGAAATCTTCAAAAACCTTTCAAAACGGCTATCTTCATCTATCTCTGAAAGATGCTTCACATGTGGTGGTGCTGGGTTCCCCTCCCCCACCTACCAGTAGTCAATCTCCACAACCAGGACCTTCTTCTTCCTCATCAGAATAAAGTGAGTACCCTAATTGGATATGTAAATTAACATTTTACCTTCCAGTAAATGTTCCTAAGATTGGAAAATATTCCAAAAAGTTTATAATTATAATCTGGACCTAAGCTAGCGGAGCCTTATACGCAATGTCACCTCCCTTTCCACCTCCTGCTCGGGTAATCAAAGCTAGACATCGGATTCTGGATTGAATAAACAATCGTTTTTTTCTACAAACCAGTTTTTGTGATATAGTCCAGAATGCAACGTCGACATCCCACCCGTTTCCACCCCTCGAGAGTTGACATTTGTTTACTACTCGCTCTCGGGCAAGAGATGTATTTTTGCCCCCTAGGCCCCGTTGTGGGTCAATGACCTGTGCCCGGGTGGGCTATTCCCGGTAAAAGGAATTTAGGGGCACATTAATACGAGACCCACAGTTATGAAGAACCCATTTAAGATTATAGGAATTATAAGAAATAATTAAAGGGTAGAAAATGAAGGTATGAAAGAACTGTGAGGAGACAATCATAAGATAATGAAATGGTAAAAAGTATAAGATTAAGATATGATAAAGAGAAAAGCATGGTAATTGATGGGCTAGTAAAGAAGAACTGTGATGAGACAGTCCAGTAGAAAGGGAAGGAAGCACTTTAAAAATACAGTCAGTGTTTGGTTGTAAGATTACAGGAATATTTAATAATAAACTGTCCCAGAGGATTGAACAGAATCTAAATAAAAAATAAAAAAAATCCCCAACAAAAATGCGGGACTCATTCAGATTAAAAAGCAAAGTTATCTGACATGAGGTGTTCCAACAATGAGGATCACCTTTATTGACTCCATTACTCTTATATAAAATAAAGTTGAATTATTTCCAAACAGACTTATTCAGGGGCATCATTTCAGATTTGGCTTAGGGGGAGCAACACCATTCCATGCAAAGAGTAGGGGTCAAAATCCTGCTCCACCGTGGTGCTGCCGGGCGGTGCTGTAACAGACGGAACACGTTCCAACACGTGTGGCTGCTAGCAATATGACTTACTTCCTTGCTGCTATTCAGTTAATGAATGATAGGCAATGGGAAAGATGAAAATAGATGAATACTTATCATTTTGTTTAATTATGTATAGTAAAAATACCATTGAGATGTACTCTACCAATTCGTCTACAGTATAGTCTGGATTTACGCGGTTTTTGTTTACGCGTTTGGTCATTTACGCGGCACCTTGCCAGAATGAAATGTTTTAATTACGCGGTAAATTTCATCATTTACGCGGGTGACGTATAATTTGTTATTTACTGAAGATATTTGATTTTAGCTCATAAAATTCATAGAAATTACCCGCCAGAATATAATTTACATTGCTGGAATTCTTATAAGATGATGATTAATTTAAATATAAACATCCTAAAATTTGCATTAGACATACAAATTTTAGATATAATTTAAGAATTTTATTAGAAAGAGCAAAAATTTTATCTTTTGTGCAAAATATATGACATTTACATTCAAATTATTCACAGTCTTGCAAGGAATTCAGCAATGTCAATTATATTATCCTAACCATAGTGTGAGGTATTATTTATTATAAACCTAAAAACCTAGTGTTTTCACCCAAACATTTCTCAGAGAGGGAGGAGCCAGCGAGCGTGGGAAGAGTGGGGGGGGGAGTTGAGTCCATTATTTGAATGGATATTAACCGGCGACTGTATTTCTCTTAAATATTAATTGTGTGTGCATGCCATCATAAAATTAAGATGTTATTTTTACTACAACATATGTATTGTGTCGGAAAAAGTGTAGTTAGGGGGTCAGCCCAGTCTCTATTTCAATTAATCCCATATGTTCTGTTACTTCGTTTACGCGTTTCTCGTTTTACGCAGACCTCCACGGGTTCAATTGACCGCGTAAATGAAGATTATACTGTATATGAAAATGGAATATAATTACAATTTAACTTGGAGAGCAAGACAGCCCTTGGGAGTGGCAAGCCAGGTCTTGGTGGGGGGCCGAGTGCTCACCCCTCCCCCTCCCAGATGACGCCCCTGAACTCATTGTACCAGTCATATTTCTTTTTCAAGTTTTCATTCCTATTCCCAGTAACAATTTTTATTAATAACTGTAACCACATATAGATACTGTGAATGCATTCATTGCAACTAAATAAATGGATAGCATGAAAGAAATACTGTACTAACCTGACCCTGTATGGAAGGTTGGCGTGACCTTGGTGAGGAGCCCCGGGAGCGGATGGAATTCTGTGGGCTAAGCGTTCGCGGTGACCCTATCGAGTTCTGCTGGGTGAGGATAGACCTGCGCGGGGCCAGCTGCACATGGCTGCTGGTGGACCCGTTGCAGTGGCTGTGGTCAGTCCCTAACAACCTGGAGGGTGGAGTGGCAATTATCTCTTCATAAAAGGAGTGACATTTTTCATTGTTCAAACTCACAGGATCTGATTAACTAAATATTACAGTGGAAAGTTACTGACATCTGCCACCTCTCACTCTGGTTTCTATTGAATACAACATCTATTATCTTCTACACATTAGTGATATTTATTATGGAATGTTTTAGTGATCAGCCTCTACTTTTTATTAGTCATCCAAGGACTTTTAGTGTCATACAACATTTATAATGCTGGGTCAGTTCTTGCAGGTCAAATGCTGGGTCAGTTCTTGCAGGTCAAATGCTGGGTCAGTTCTTGCAGGTCAAATGCTGGGTCAGTTCTTGCAAGTCATATTAGGTAAAAGGTATTAAAAATATTATTACATATTGCTATAAACATGCAATGTTCAAATTTACATGCAATATTAAAAACTGTAAATGATACTTTAGTTTACAGCATTGTAATTTAAGAATCAACGGGACATTTCTCGACAACACTTTGCTTTAAATGAAATAAATAGGGTATTTATAACAATGCAATTATCACATTTAGAAAATTATGGTGTAGAGAGTACATGTTTCTGGTAGAAATGCCACATGATGTTAGGAGGATTTGATTAGTGTGATGTATGCAAAAAGTTGTCACAACCACATGTTAAGCATGTAAATGTACTGTACATGAAGTTCACTCTTTTCACCTAGGTAGAGAAAGGAGATGAACACTAATGACAGCATGATTTAAGTGGAATTCTTTAAGCTAATAACTGATACTTTCTGATGATGTTTCACAAAAGTGTTCACATGATAAGTCACGTGACTAACTGTTTAGGTGTGTGTCTCAACAGACCGACCGTCATCGGCACTGATGCTCAAATATAGTAATAATAATTCAGGTTGTTATTAGTAAAGGTGATGTCTTAGAGGGATATGGTATACAAGCAGTAAATCTATCATGACAAATACAGAACCATAGACAGAACATTCACAGACACAGTGCAAAATGAGCTACATAACATTTTTTTTTTAGTTACAAATTTTTTTACAGCAGAGAGTGAGAGCCATGGGCATCAAGACTCACGTAGACTGATGATTGTTAAGGTTGTTATTAGTGAATGTAATGTTATTGTTGAGAGCCGTCTCCTCCTCCCCGTCGGCGTCAGAGCCAGAGTCTTGCCGCACAAGGTTCTCCCGGTCCAACTGCGCACGACGAAATGATGACCCAGTGCTGCTACAGCCTCGACGACGACGCTGGGATCCACTACGTCGCCATGACAATGGAGACCCACACCCACTACTGCGCCGCTCACGACTGCTATAAAGGTAGGTACAATTTTATACTGCATATGATTACCAGAAAATGTTGTAGGACATTCTTAGTTCACAGGGTACAGTATAACTGATTAAGTAACTTAAATCTTCAAAATCGTTAATATTAGTCGTTATATAATAATTATATATCATAAACCCCAAACCTCTGTCATCAAAATGCACGAATTATTACTGCAAATTACAGAAAATTATTAGCACCAAAACATTCTTGTCATAATACACATTTTTCTTTCACAGTGTCCAGTCAACTGAACACCAGTATTAGATTGTTATCAATAATTTTCTCATTTTCTTATATTTCACCATACAGTAGTGTAGTATACAGTAATGTACCGATAACTTTCATTCAACTTTATCTGCTTAAACTTAAAGTCTGGTTATACAAACTGAAGCTAAGTATTGCTCCATTCATTACTGTCATTATAAGACAGGAATGAAAAGCTTACGACAGAGAATTATAACATATACTGTATTAAAAAACTTTAAACCAGGGTGTACATGAAGAAAATTATCTGGAGGCAACTGCAAATGGCAGAAAAATTAAGCTAGAGACACTAAGCAAGTGCTGCAATACTAAATAAAACTGTGGTCAAGTCTTGCTTATATTCAATGCAGTGAGTAAGCAATATTGTGCTCTGGAGGACACAGAAGAGAGGAAGAACATCCAAAGGAATGACCCATTCAGTAGAAGAAAAAGGATCTCACATTGCTTTATATATACAGTAGTACCCCGCTTAACGCGGTCAATTGAACCCACAGGGTACCGTGTTAAGTGAAAACCGCGTTAAGTGAACAACAGAACATATGGGATTAATTCCAATAGAGACTGGCCGGACCCCCAAACTCTACTTTTTCCGACACAATACCTATGTTCTAGTAAAAATAACATCTTAATTTTATGATGGTACATGCACACAATTAATACTTAAGAGAAATAGAGAAATACAGTCGCCAAGTTAATGTCCATTCAAATAATGGACTCAACTCCCTCCCCCTCTTCTCACACTACACTCGCTGGCTCTTCCCTCTCTGAGAAATTTTGGGGAAAACCACTAAATTTAATAAATAATACCTCAAACTAAAGTTAGGATAATATAATTGACATTGCTGGATTCCTTGTAAGACCAGGAATATTTTGAATATAAATGTCATATATTTTGCACAAAAGATAACATATTTACTCAGAGTAAACATTATATCTAAAATTTGTATGTCTAATGCAAAATCTATGATGTTCATAGTCAAAATGATCATCAAATTGTAAGAATTCCAGCAATGTTAATTATATTCTGGCCGGGTAATTTGTATGAATTTTATGAGCTAAAACAGGCAGGCAGGCGGGTGGCGGGTGGGGCGAATCTGAAAATAGCGACTCGAGCCGGACATGCGCGTATACGTGGAAAAAACCCGTGTTAAGTGAAAGTTCGGCTCTGGCGAGGCACCGCGTATACGTGAAATCGCGCTTAGCAAAACCGCGTTAAGCGGGGTATTACTGTATACTACTGTAAAAGCAAAATGAACATGAGAGATACTGCTGGCTCCCTAAAGGACGGAGAAAACCAAGTTACAGAAGCTGATAATCATCCTGCAGATACTGTCAATGAATTATGACCATCAGTGTTAACACAAGAGACACTGGAAGACAAACCAAGTCCAAGGATGATGAATAGTAGATGATGGATTCTGATACCTGACAACCCACATAAAGTCGTTAATAAGAAGAGAGGCAAGTTAAAGATATGTACAGTACAGTACAGTACAGTACAATGTAAAAAATCTGTCATTTTAAGCCCCAGCAATTTCTTTAATCTGGTATTGAAAAAAATCTGTATTTTAATAACAATACATGTATTTTGTATCTTCCTATTGAATATGGGACAAATGTACTTTTCTGGGACTTGTTGCTATGTTGTGTGGAGTTGCTGAGACCCATACTGCTGCTTCATCAAGTTTCCTCTTTCATAATTCTAGGCAGTTGCATACCCAGATTTTCCATTGCTATTAAAAAATAAATCCCTCACAATGGCATCCAACAAGCATTCAAAGGCCAAAAAGGACAGAATAAAACCATATAAGTTGACATGTGGAGATGCAAATGTTTTCGTGGCTTGGCATAATGGCTAACCACTGCCTTACCTACTCACTCCTGCACTGGCCCGCAATCCCTTTTGCATTCATTGTTTGAGACTTACCATAGAATATATCAAATGGGTAATTACTATTTGGTTTTCAGCCATTCACGGTTTAGCAGCTTTGGGGACTCTCCCCTTAGTAGCTAAGAGATAGATTTTTTTTTTTTTTTTTTTTTTTTGGGCACCCCCCTACATCCTTGTGTAAGGTGAAGAGCAGAAGCATTTACAGTGCCCAACAGGGAAGCATGCTAAGTTCATGCTTGCCTTTTATGTCTCATGAGTTAAGGGCGTAGAAGCCTGAAGAGTCAGTGGTTTTTATGTCATCAAGTTATTGGAAGCTCCAACAACTCCCTGAATACGAATTCCCAACTTTCGACTTACAACAGGTACCTACTTTACTGCCCCTATGGGGGCTAGGAAGCAAGTCCAAACAACTTCCACCGGCCCGGGAATCGAACCCGTGACATCTCGCTTGCGAGGCAAGAACGGTACCGCTTCTACCACCGGTCTCCTATTTCATTATGGTTTTCATATTTTTTGTGTATCATCCATGTTTATTTGTGTTTTTCTTCTTGAGGGACAGGCTGCTTGTTTTGTTGTAAAAGTGTAGGATAATCACATAAAACTTGAAACTGCTTACATGGCCATCAACAACTCACTGCTAATAAATGATATTTATGCAATCCCATTACTTAATAATAAGATTTAAAAATACAGAAAATACAGGTGGGGGAGTTAACCTTGAGTATAGGTCGAGTAAACAATACAAATTTATGTACACAAACCATGATATTTAAAACGAAAATTTATAAAGAAGTATACAGTACATTGATATATATTGTCTTAGTACACACTGTTTCACTTACATGTTGTTGATGAATTAGAGAGAAAAATTCTACGACACACGACACACTCTTTTAGTTAACTTTAAAATGCCAAATAACCGCTGTACTCCTCTCCAGTGTCAGTCTACCACCTTGTTTACTTCAGCTTATTAGTTAAGTGTGTGTTAAAATGTTATCAAAACCCTATAAAATGAGTGGAGAACACCCAGCAAGTAATATCTGTGTGTCTGGTGAGATAAAACAAGGAAAAGTACCAATCTAGAGGTTAAATTAGATGTTTAAAAGTGTTTTGATGCTGGCAAATGAGCTGTTAACACAAAATCTTTTATAAAGTTAATAAATTTCCAATAGTAAATTTATAGATTAGTCAGTCTACAATAAAGCCTTCTTGGCAATACTATATACTGTATAATTCAGCACCTGCTCGGTCAATGGGGTGTCAGATAATTATTGATGGTGCATCGTATTCAAAGCTGTATAAGTTGCTTGTGAGTTGCTTAAAATGCTTATGAAGGCATTAATAAGTTATGCTTACCAATATGAAAGTCTCTGGATCAAAGAAGACAGCTGTGGGACTAGAAATAAGCAAATATTGCCACGATCTTTAAGATAAGATAGGTACCATATGTGTGCAGCAGAAAACTACTAACCAATAGAACTAATTTCAAATATTTGAAAACTCCAAGAGAATTTTGAGGGACACTATTATCCATAGGTAACAGTGCACAGTCTCAAACTTCTAAACCTCCCCAAGAAACGGTGACAGACTACATGAACCAAGATTATCAAGGTGATGTGTTATACTGCATGTGGATTTCTCTCAGGCATTCGACAAAATTCCAAGTGTAAGGTTAGTCCTGAAAATCAAAGCTCATGTCTTCTGTGGCTAAATATTAGTGATACAGCAGAATGGTAGTTGCCCCTTACCACATGCTTCCCAAGTTCAATCTCAGGTCGAGTGTGAGAAGGGTATAAACCTGTATGACCTTACTTTACATAAGAGACTTTCTCCAGGTACTACTTTGGTTTCCTCCTATAATAACACTGGACCCAAGCATAATGGAAGACAAACTCATCAAGAGCAAAATGGGATTAAACATCATTAAAAGACATCTCTCAAACCACTTCATCAAGTCGGCTAACAATACAGATTTTCAGAAAAATAACCAGGAACAAAAATATTATAGTCACACAAAATGATTTGCATGAACTTGTCAGATGATTGAATGATAAGCAAATTCCACATGACAAAACAAAGTTTAAGATTCTTCATGTGGGACATAATGTACTTGTATGGCATCTGTAGATACAAAAAAAGACTCGGGAGTTGTATAGTTAACCAGTCACTGAAAGTAAAGCAACGAGTGGGAGCCAATAAAGAAGCTAAGCAAACTCTAAGAACCAAATTATGCAACTATTGTATAAATACGGTGACAAGAAAAAGTTTATTGAGCTCTCCTCAAATCCTTTGTAATTCTCCATCTTAATTGCAGTACACCAGCATGGAGACCGCATCTACAAAAAGGCATTACTATTATGGGTAAAAGTATAATACAAGGTGATTAAAATTATAAAAAAAAGTAAAAAAAAATCGCTCACAGTAGCGATTTTGGCTTGTGCAGGACAATAAGACCCTTGTCGTTGATGCAATGAGTATAAAGTGACAGAACTGTGGAAAAGTCTACCTACTGTTGTTCTAGATTTAAGAGCAGTAATAACCTTTAAAATAACCCTGGACAATATAATCAGAAATAATAGTGGTACAGTACCCTGAACAAGCCAAAGGTTTCCTTCCCCGTGCAAGGTCAATATTCTATACTGTATGTGGTGGCTGCTAGGTAAACAAAGTGGGGCCCATACATTACATTGTGTGAGTATAGTTGGCAATCAGTGTAGATGTAGCAGTGAGCACAAATAAATAATGACCATATGCTTGCCACTTACCATACAGTTAATCGTGAGAATAGGTTTGGTGATGACAAAGTGCGAAGCTATGAGCATATACTAGGCTCTGGCTGTGAACTGACCAGAGAGAGTATGCTAGGTGGTAATCAGGAAACAGGTGATAATATACAATAACTGGTGAGTGCATCATAGATGGGTGTATGTATATACAGTATCATATATACTTTATAAATTCAGTTTTCCCCAATTTAGGGCGTACCATAAGTCATGAGGACACCAGAAATGATGAGTGTACCCAAGGTGGTGACAAAGTAGAGGAGTTATGCTGTGTCCACTGCTACTGCTACTGCTACTCAGGCTAATGCTGAAACATCTGAGAAGATGGACCCCGTATATTACATAGGCAACACACTCTTGTCCAACACCGCCCTATGCTACTTGTAGTTAACAAGTGTGGTCCATTTTGTGTGGGAAAATAATGTACGGTAGTCTATCTTAAGTCTCCTACAATCTACCTTAATATCTAAGAAGTAATTTGTCATGATGAAGCCAAAATGAGTCACATATCAGACAGATGTGCCTGTACTATAAATTTGGGGAAGTAATAAATAGGATTAAAAGACAAAAAACATCCCATCATCTACTGTATACTAAAAAAGTATTTTATCAATATTCATAATAAAAAATTAACCATGACACCTTCAAACACTATTTTTGGTCTTTGTCAATAGCCTTTGTACAGTCTTCCAACAAGATACTGCATCCCTCAGCATAAATCTGCACTTCTCCATCATCATAAATTATGGTGAAGTTTACATTGGAAAAAAAAAAAAAAAGGGTATGGATGGGAAAAAACTGAAAAATGAAGAAAATACATAAAAAAATGTGGGAAATAACTCAAAGACACTGATACAACCAATGCATTTTTTTTTTTGCATTTCCATTACAGGGAGAAGCACTGTGTCAGGGAGAGTATCATGTGTCAGGGAGAGTATCAAGGTCAGGGAAGTACACAGTGTACTTTGTAGTATTATTATACAGTACAACTCTTTTTTAAGTAAAGTAGGATCTCAAATTTAGAGAGTTTTAGATTTGTTATTCATATGTTTTGCGTCACTTTTAAAATTTCCAGACCTCTCAAGAAAAGTGATTTTCAATACCAGTTTCACGAGTTAATAGAAAGTGGGTGGCACACACTGTCGCAGTCCCTTGTTATCCGCCGTGTTTTTTGTTTATGGTAGTTAGTTTGAATGAGTGAGTGGTGCAGTGACTTTGGATTATATAACCCATTGTGCTAAGTTTTGCGAGATTCTTGTATAACTATTAACAATTCTTGTGTATTAACGATTTTTATGTATTAATGATTCTTGTGTATTACCAATTCTTGTGTATTAATGATTCTTGTGTATTAATGATGAGTGAGGCGAGTAATGTAAATCTCGGGAGCGGTTCTGGTGGTAATGATGGCCGTAGAGAAGGTCAACAAGTAAAGCCCCAAGCCAAACATGACTACTGTAAGAGGGTCAAGAAGAGGAAATACACCCTTGAAATGAAACGAGAGATGCTTGACATGATCAAAAGTTGTGCTCATACCTGTGAAATAATGCATAGGTTCAACTGCCCTGAATCAACCATATGCTCCCTTAAGAAGAACAAGGAAGCCTTAACTGCTTCTGTGAATGTACTGTATTCTTAAGATTTTCTAGTAACAGGACATTCTCCGATACTTCACAATAAAACTTATTGCTTGTTATCACAGAACATTACCTTCACGAGTGGGTGGAAAGAAGAAACCGCAAGCAAGGCGACCTGTCTGGGCCACAGATAAGGCATCAAGCACGTGTTAATTATGCTGCAGTTGCAGAGAAGAAACGCGTTAACTCTCCACCACCGTTCAATGCTTCTGTTGGTTGGTTGCTTGCTTGCTTTTAAGAAGCGTTATGAAGTCAAGTTTGACCACTACATGGGGAAAGTGCATCGGCTGATGTCGAAGCAGCAGAAAAATATCTACCTGTCTTTCAAGTTCTTGTGAAAGAGGGTGGTTATTGTCGAGACCAGATCTTCAATTGTGACTAAACTGGCATTTTCTGGAAGCACTCGCCTAACACCACTCACTGCCAAGGATGAAAAACAGACTTCAAAGGACAGGATTATAGTTTAATTCACAGATAATGCAAGCGAAGATTTCTTGATGAAACCTCTAGCTGTTAACCGTGCTGCCCGTCCTACAGCCTACCATCATGCCAATATGTCACAACTCAATGTTTATTGGACGTCTAATATGAAAGCTTGGGTTATAATGTCTTTATGCACCGATTGGTTTGACAAGCACTTTGTTCCTGATGCCCAACAGTACTGCTGGAGAAAGAACATTGACTTCAAAGTGGTCTTGGTGATGGATAATGCTCCTGGTCACTAAGTTTCTAATTGGATGCCACCCTAATGTAAAAGTTATCTTCCTTCCTCCTAACACCACATCGCTTCTGCAGCCACTTGACCACAAATTCATCAGTAACGTTAAACTGTTCTACTATCAGTCATTCCATAAAGACTTTCGACAGCAGAGAGACTCATTAGTTGAGTTACAACAAATCGAGGCAGAACTCTCTGACAGTGACCAGGCTCTACCAGCACCAGCTAACCAGGACGAGAAGGAGGAGGAGGTGGAGGAGGCAGAGGAGGAGATGGTAGATGACCCAACTCCTAGCACCTCACACACATCACCCTGCAACCGTTAAGTTTTGCCAGTTTGTGAATTTTGGAAGAAATATAAAAATAATATAAAAAATGCAGTGGACAGAAATGTTGACGTATGGCGTAAGATTAATGTTACAACAGTGCTATACGCATGAAAGCCTTTGTTCACTATCTCCGAGGTAAGTGGGGCAGAGCAGACTGGGACAAGTGGAGAGAGGCAGTCCGTGGCAGCAACACTAATGGACACAGTCGAGGCAGCGTGATCAGTCCCAGCACCGGGATTTTCAGATGGTCAGGTTGAAGATTTGCGAGAAACAATTGGTCAACATCAGCAGCAACCGACAATTGAAGAAATGTTGGAGGAGGATGAAGAACAAGAATAACAGCAAGCAACACAAGAGGATGACGTTAAGCCTGGTGAACCTACAACACGCCAGCTGACTGAGTTGCTCACAACCATCACACGTTTCAGTAAACAGCTAGAAGAATATGATACCAGGCCTCATCCTCAGAGCCATATCTGTCCTGTTATCAATAAAGTTATAGAGAATACATGTCCCGAGTTAATGCTCATCAGTAGGCCCTTATTACTCGGCACCTGTGCAAGGCCCAGCCTGTTATTAATGCCTTGGCAAACATCACTTTAGGAGATAATGATGGCACCACCAATGATGATATTGAAGTGTCGGGTGACTTGCTGGTGGAAGAGCTGCCTCAAGACTTTGAGGGATTTGAGGCTGTGAATAGAGGAGGTGTAGAGGACGGAGCAGGGAGGAAGCACTAACCAGCCCTCCCTGCCTCGGAACCCATCAACCAGCCCCGTCAAGCATTTCGCTGACTCCATCAAGGTAAGTTATTCTTCAGTGAGTGTATATAAATATTGTTATCAACAGTAAGTACAATATAAATATGTCTGAATACATTACAGTAATATCATTTTCTGGGTGGGTTGTAGGTTGTTATAAGGGGGTTGGAGTGACACCACGGAACCAATTAGGCTTGTTTACATGTATTTCAAGGTCACTTGTTTTGCAATTTTAAATTTTGCGATGCTAAAACAGGTACCAATTAGTCGCGAAACTTGAGATCCTACAGTAGAGCAAACCCTGTACTTAATTTCTAACCTTTAGCTGTGTATTATAGGATTTTAGGTTTGACTCTCTGGTATCATTTCCCCAAACCCCTTATTTCCCACCAGACCCAACCCTTGCCAACCACAGTTTTGCCAACCTCAGGAGAGTTCTAGATTGTAACCCCTACGGTTGGTGAGGGATTACTGCAAGAGAAATGAAGTAACATTAGAGATGTAGATGGTACGGCAACAGCCTACACTAACCCTGGAGATGGGCTAATGGAATCTCGGTTCCCTGGAAGGTCATGAGGAGAAAGTGACTCTCGCCGTTGTGCCCCACGAGGCCCAAGACGACTTGATGGACGAGATGATCTGGATGACAGTGATGTGTTGTTGCTTTTGATGGAAGCTGACCTCAGGATACCCTAGAGAAGACAATACTAATAAGAGATCAGAAATTGACCCCAAAATCCCATTTCATAGCTGTATCACATAACTTAAGTAGAGCCAAACAATTTTATGGGTGGAAAATCCAGGGTTCCTATGACCCCAACATATCTGAATAGAATCAATATGAAAATTATTGAAAACCCCTAACCTTTAATAGAAAAGTTACCACTTTAGGCTGATGGCTATGAGTTTTTAATCTCATATTAAGATATGTATTCCCCAACCTTCATACAACTGTTATAGCATTCTCCTGTGGGTTGACCCTTTTGTTCCAGCTCACTTCAGTAGCCCTGAAAAGGAGGGAGGGATCTGAGTTGCCCGATATAAGTTTATAATACATTAACTGAGGAGTATGCGTCGTGTTGCGTCTCCGTAACAAAGCGTGTTCGGCATTCGGGCCTTCGTTGTTGAGCGGCAGAAATTGGACAGTGATTACATAAGATCACCAAGATCGTCTTAGTGATGTGAAAGTGTAAATCGATGTAGGATTTTTAATGCTAGACGCGATTGTATTTTTGAAAACTCAATCTCCACCGAGTTGGAGACACAGCCCAAGTCAAGAGGCCTACAACCACAAAATCATTGCCATATGACAAAGCTTTTATTTTATATTTTTACAGAGTTGTGGTCATGGCTGTGATAAAGGTCAACCAGGGAGTGTAGTACTGTGCCTTTAGTTAGATCAGTTCATAGTGTCATCAGTGACTGCAGAAGAGGTTGTAAATAACTTAAAGTGAATACAAATTGGCAAGCAAGCTGGAAAGGCACCACTGCCAGCTGAAACCAAGTCGTGTTGTAGGTGCCAGAGACTTTAAATTTTATTTTGATTGTGTGCTTTCTCAAGGACTGAAACTGTGCCTACAATACACCATTCACAGGGAGATACAGTGTACTCAGTGATAGCACATAGAGATATAGTCGTTGATGAGAAAAGGAAAATAAAGTATAAGGAAATACTAGTTAAAATAAAAAAATAAATAAAATCAACAAGCTTGGCTATCCTTAAAGGCATGCTATTACTACCCCAAAGAAAGTTTTATTTTATTTTTCTGTGTTCCTAAAGAACTTACTGGGTGTATAAAATCCGTTATTCATAACAAAATGCAGTGTACATAGAGATAGCACATAAATACTGACAAACACCGAAGTGAACTGAAAAATAAAGAGAAGAAAAACAGAAGACAACTGTAAAGGCAACAGGGGAGGTTAACACCAGCAGAGGGCAGCTAAGAACTGTTCTTTTTTCTCTTTATTTTTAAATAGGTGTAGATCTATACACAGTCTGCACCCCCCCCTCCCCACACAACAACAACCATGAGTACGATATGTGATTACTGCAAGGAGACCTCGGATATGGAGGATACAGGCCTGACTAATGCAACGTTTAGGACGATGCAAACTGCCGTAAAGCATGAAAGCTGTTGCTGGTATTGCCCTGACTGCGTAGTCAAGGTGAATGAGGCGATTGCAAACCATAGGGGAACGAGTTCCCTAAGGAAGAAAATAGATGAAGCTGGAGCCTTGCTGGTTGCCAAACTAGAACAATTTGGGAAAGAGATCCTTGCTAAGACTGAGGAAGTAGCCGACAGAATGGAGGTGGTTGCTAAGAGGAGTTATGCTGAGGTATTAGCAGGGCCACGGGAGGTGGCAGAGAGTAATGCAGGATCAGAACAGGTTCTACAGCAGCTAGGGACTCTGAAGAAGGGTGACGAAGGAACAACGGGAATGTTTCCAGCGCAGGAACAATGTAATAGTTTTTGGAGTCCCTGAGAGCAAGGCAGAGGGAACTGAGAGTAAGATAACACACGATAAGATGCAGTTTAAGAATATTTGTACAGAGGTTCTGAAGATGCCATCAACCCCACAGGATGTAAGGAGGCTGGGACAAAAGCAAGGGGACAAGCCTCGCCCCCTCAGTATCACACTAGTGAGTGAGGAGGAGAAATGGGAGGTTATTCGGCAGGCAAAAACTTAGCAAGGAGCGAGGCATTTCGGAGTGTATTCATTCAACTAGATCGCACGATAATGCAGAGGGAACAGCACAAGAAGCTCCTGTAGGGCTTGAAGCAGAGAAGGGAGGAGTTGAGGAGGAGCGGGGATGGGTGTACATGGGTTGTATTCAGGGAGAGAGTGGTGGAAGCAAGTGTGCCAACACATGGCTGGGGATCAGCAGTGCACCCTCCACCCGCTCTACCCCTCCGCCCGGGAGGTGGCACCAGCTCTGCCTATCAGCCGGGAGGCAAGCGCCTTGTAAACAATGACATTTCTAACCACACCCTGCAAAATACAGTGTACTTAGCAAATGCTGCAGCTTCTGAGAATGGGGGGGGGTGGCGGGGTTACTACTAAGAACAGAGACGTTACCGAGAACAAATTCTAGCTTGAATGTCATGTACACTAATACTGACACGTTCCTTGATAAGATAGAGGAGTCTGAAACACTACTGAAGGTACACCAACCAGATATTGTAGGAGTTGTAGAACTGTTGTACAAGAACAGGAGAATTTATCCAGAGTGTTGCTGGATATGACTCATTTTCGAACCTTTTCTCAAGAAACTTGCAAGAGGGGTGTGGTTATCTATGCTAGGCAAGAACTTAGAGCCAGCCAGGCGAGGGTAAAGGAAGAGGATGTTTTTGAAGAGTCCAAGTGGTGTAAAATTAAACTAAAGGGAGGGGACTTACTTATTGTCGGGTGTATCTACAGATCCCCAAACTGTGGCCCACTAAATCAAAGGAGATTAAGAGCCTTAATAGACAATGCGGCGATGCTCAACCCTAGCCACCTCCTTATCATGAGGGACTTTAACTATGGCGACATCGACTGGAGAAACGAGTTCACCCCAAATGATTTGAATAACCCTGCTACTCTTTTTGTAGGAACTCTGAGAGATAATTTTCTGTTCCAACATGTTAGAGACCTGACACATTACAGAGGGGAGCAAACACCCAAGCCACTAGACCTCATCATAACAAACGAGGAGGGTATGGTGGCCAAACTGAAACACCTTGCCCCAGTTGGCACCAGTCACCATATAGTGTTGTCATTCAGATTTAACTGTTACCTAGTTCAAGATAAGGCCAGGCCAAGGTGCAAATATTACAAGGGAAATTACAACGGGATGCGGGAAGAGATGAGGGGTATCCACTGGCCTGACTCATAAAGGCACAAGAACGCAGACACTACACTGAATATCATAACTAGTAAAGTGACCCATTTGATCGATAAATATATACCCAAGACCAAACCCAGTACCTCTAGGAATACAAGGGGATCCCTACACATGAACCATGCGGCGGTTGACAAAGTTAAGAAGAAAACCCAGAAATTCAAGACGTGGGTTAGGTCAAATGATGAGCAGGACAGGAGGATGTATGCAAGAGCCAGAGACCAAGCAAAGATAGAATGTAGAAAGGCTCAAAAGGAGTTCCAGAGGCTGGTTGCAAGCAAGGTCAAGTCAAACCCAAAGGCGTTTTACCGCTATGCAAAGTCGAAATTAAAAACGCGAGTAGGATTATCAGACCTGAGGCTTGAAGATGGTAGTTATGCAGATTCTGACCAGGATAAAGCTGAGGCATTGAACAGCTTCTTTTCCTCGGTGTTCACAAGAGAGGATGCAATTAACCTTCCTGTGTTTGAGGACAGACTGTTTGACACAGCACTGACCCACATTGTGTTCACAGAAGAGGGTATTAGAACTAAACTGTCAAAGCTAAAGGTCCATAAGAGTCCCGGACCTGACATGGTGCATCCTAGAGTGCTAAGAGAGTTGAGCAAAGAGCTTACCGAGCCCCTGAAGATCCTGTTTTGTAAATGCCTGGATGAACAAAAGGTCCCCAGTGAATGGAAAGTGGCTTATGTGAGTCCTATCTTCAAGAAGGGCAATCGTCACTCCACGAACAACTATAGACCGGTGAGCCTGACCAGCATAATGTGTAAAGTACTTGAGAGTATTATGAGAGATGCCGTAGTGGAACATCTACTACGAAACAACCTTGTAAAGGATTGCCAACATGGTTTTATGCTGGGGCACTCCTGCTTAACACAACTGCTCAAGGTATTGGATATTTGGACCCATATTCTGGAACAGGGTGGTAATATTGAAAATTTCTACCTAGATTTTGCCAAGGCTTTCAACAATGTACCCCACGAAAGGCTGAAAATCAAACTGGAAGGGTACGGAATTCGGGGAAATGTCCTAGCGTAGATAGAAGACTTTCTACATGACCGCAAGCAGTGTGTGGTGATTAAAGGCACGAAATCATCATCCGTACCTGGCACAAGCAGGGCAGTGTATTGGGCCCGCTGTTGTTTGTTTGTTTCATAAATGACATGCCTGACGTTGTACACTCCTCCATACAAATGTTTGCCGATGATGCCAAGTTATTTCGGGAAATCAAGAACCAAGTGGACTGTGAAGAGTTGCAGAAGGACCTCTGTGGGCTCCAAGAATGGTCAAAGAAATGGCTGCTGAGATTCAATGTCACGAAGTGTAAGAAGATGCACCTGGGGCATATCAATGTTAAGGAGGCGTATTATATGTCCCAACGGGATGAAGAAACTGCACTATTTGAGACTGAATGTGAGAAGGACCTAGGTGTGTATGTTGACAATGAGCTGAAGTTCTCGGGCCATTGTGAGAAGAAGGTAAATCAGGCAAATAAATTATTGGGTCTTATAAGAAGATATCACTCAGATATCTAGACGGTCCGTCTCTTGTAAAGATCTTCAGTAGTGAAGTGCTTCCCCATCTGGAGTACTGTCACCCCGTCTGGTCCCCGAGATATGCTAGGGACTGTCAGTTGGTTGAAAATGTTCAAAGGAGGGCCACCAGACTGGTGCCTGCACTTTTGAATTTTTTCACTATCCTCAACATATAAATATAAATGTAAATAAAAGCCACTTGATAAAAAAATATCTCCAAATTTTAAATATCTTCAATTTAAATGTCATTATCTCAGTTATTGCCAGGATGACAGTTACTTTTTTTTTTTGTTTTTTTTAAATCTTAGATGTCCCACTAGCAAAATATAAAGAGTAGTTCTCTATCCACCACATGCACACACATACCCCTCAGTTAATGTATTATCAGTATACTGATAGCTCAATGACTGGGTCAGGTTACTCAGGTAAGGAACAATATCAAAGGAGGGTAAATCTATCACCAACCCTTCCTAGGATCTTTTCAGAGAAGAAACCTTGAAATTGAAAATGTTTGTAGTAAACCATGAGCATACCCAGAGGAGGTATATCTCTGATTATGGAAAACAAGACTAGCCTAACAGTTGTACCCAATCTGAGACAGAAGAACAGAGGCAGACTGTCCTCCTTCATTGAGCCAAAAAACTGGAGAAAGAGGAATAAGAAATACTATATGTGGGAAAAACAGCATTCATTTAGCATGGTTCAGGAGCTCTTCACCACGGCTAAACCAAACTACAAGTACATAAATAATTTGTATTCAGTTTCTCATTAACCTGTATGTAACTTTATTTTCTTTAGGATGAAAGTATGTTTTTTAAGAGCATTAATTTTTCAAGACACTGTCACATAAGGTGCACAGCAAATTTACTGCAAGCCATGGCATAAGGGTAATCAATTTTAGTCATCAATGTCAGGGGTACCAGGAGCCCTGGGCTGTCAATCTATATACTTTATGCATCTGGCTATACGAGTGTTGCCTAATCCAGGGTCTGACTATAAAATATCAGAAACAATTACTACAAAGTTTAAGGTAAAAATGGATTAAAGTAAGTCAAATCAAGAAAGAATATACAGTATTTATCATAAAGAAATTTCATTATGAGAAAAAAATGATAATCACAAGTTTTTTATGTTACGTATTTATCTTGTGGTATTAATTTTTAACAGTGTTGAAACATACACCTGGCGACAGTATAGTAATGTGTACCTGTGGACGGTCATACTGGTCGGGAGTAGAGCAGTAAAGTGCCATAGCAGGGCTGAGCCTGTTGTTGAGATCCCCACGTCCACTAGGCTCCAGGGTGGCGTGGGGCGAACCTTGGGGTGTGGCAGCAGTGTGTGTGATGATTGGTGGGTACCCTAGATGGGCAGTGGGTGTAGACATAATGGGTGTGAACCCTGCAGGAGTGGGTGGGATCTCACGACCAGTTGACTGTGGCATATGCAGCAACTTGCTCTCTGAAGGGGACAGTGCTGGTGTGAGCCACATCTTATAAGAGATAAATGTGTGTAGGTATATTAGTGATGGTCATGAGAGGAACTTACACATAACTGAGGGAAGATTTACAGATATGGATAAGCTGTGATGCACAAAAGCACAACAGTACAAAACAAAATGTAAAGATGGTGGACAAAGATGTTGATGATGGTCAAAACTGAATAAATCAGGAACAAAAATTGTTTTGTCAAGACTAGTTCTGTGAAAATAAATGAAGAGAGTGAGGAATTTGAAGTGAAGATAGGGGTCCATTAGGGGTCTGTTGGAGCCCCCTTCTGTGTATTTTAGTGCTAGATGCATTATTACAGGACTTTAGGAGTGATCTGCCCTGGGAATTGTTGCATGTTGATGACTCAGGGCTGATAGCAGATAGTATTGAAGAGGGAGTGGAGAAATGTAAGATATGGAATGATGGAATAGAAACAAAAAGCCTGAGACTGAATGTGGCCAAAACAAAAGTGCCATATTAATTAGTGGTGTGGGTGAGGGACCCATGGCAGAAAGTTGGAAAGTGGAAACCAGCCAAATGGTAACTGTAAGATGTTAGCAAACTCAGTAATGTGTAGTGGGTGTGGAAAGTGGGTACAAAAAGAGGTGTAAATGAGTAGATAGCAGATTGAAGGATGTTACTAACATTAAGTGACCTGTATGGCCTTAGATAGGCTGGAGAAACTTAATATTGGGAATATATCTCTGGACTGTATCAATAAGTTCCCTTACTTTGGCTAATTTATAATAAAATCAAATATTCTTGACTGAAGTAGGTGACTAGTGCTGAAGTGTAATTGCATTTCTTACCCTTCTCAATATTACACTTGGGGTCATCATCGAGCAACTTCTGCCGCAGCTGGTTCTCTGTGACCCGGTCCTCGTTGCCCTTAAGATGTCGGTGTTCATCGTCAGCTCCCTCCAAGGTGGATACCGACCGCTTCTTCTCATCCTAGTGTTGACCATAAACACTTTAGTGTCGTCTTAAGTGCATTCTTAAGTGTCACAGTTAAGGACCTTTTTGCTAGTTATACGGTGTCTCAGTAGGCTTCAATATCAATTACTTTCTCACATCAATATTCAATTTAGGTTATCCAATAAACATGGAGGAATCTTTGAGAAAATCCGACTAATCTTATAATTAACTATAGCATACCTATAGTATATAATGAACTACAAAAAGTATTATTAAAATCAGACAAAAGCCTCAAATTCTGGAGATTTGATTTTGATGAGAAAGGAACCTACTGAACTCAAAAGAGATCTAGTGATCACCATATAACCAACTACTCAGGAATCAAAGGGCCAATGTTTGGAAGGTACAAGCTTTCTCATCCAAGAGAATGTGGCAGATGGGATGACACCACTTGGAACACTAATAAAGTTAAGTAGGAGTAAAGACTTGTTTACATTCTCTGCATACAGCGGATCTATGAGAAATAATGTCAGGTCTTGTGATCCAGTGTATATGAGACAGCAAAAAATATATTTACATTGTTTAGTGAAGCATTAATATTAACTACATGGAACAGACACAAAATATACTATTAGACCTTATCAACTTCAAGTTTGTTTCTAAAGTAAAAAGAAACAAATTCAGGAACTGCAGAGAAAGGGAGAAGAAACAAGGTACAAGACAATAGGACCATTACATTAGCTAAGCCACCCATACACATGCTTCACTGTCCTTATGGAGGAGAATTTCATATATATATATAGAGAGAGAGAGAGAGAGAGAGAGAGAGAGAGAGAGAGAGAGAGAGAGAGAGAGAGAGAGAGAGAGAGAGAGAGAGAGAGAGAGAGAGAGAGAGAGAGAGAGAGAGAGAGAGAGAGAGAGAGAGAGAGAGAGAGAGAGAGAGAGAGAGAGAGAGAGAGAGAGAGAGAGAGAGAGAGAGAGAGAGAGAGAGAGAGAGAGAGAGAGAGAGAGAGAGAGAGAGAGAGAGAGAGAGAGAGAGAGAGAGAGAGAGAGAGAGAGAGAGAGAGAGAGAGAGAGAGAGAGAGAGAGAGAGAGAGAGAGAGAGAGAGAGAGAGAGAGAGAGAGAGAGAGAGAGAGAGAGAGAGAGAGAGAGAGAGAGAGAGAGAGAGAGAGAGAGAGAGAGAGAGAGAGAGAGAGAGAGAGAGAGAGAGAGAGAGAGAGAGAGAGAGAGAGAGAGAGAGAGAGAGAGAGAGAGAGAGAGAGAGAGAGAGAGAGAGAGAGAGAGAGAGAGAGAGAGAGAGAGAGAGAGAGAGAGAGAGAGAGAGAGAGAGAGAGAGAGAGAGAGAGAGAGAGAGAGAGAGAGAGAGAGAGAGAGAGAGAGAGAGAGAGAGAGAGAGAGAGAGAGAGAGAGAGAGAGAGAGAGAGAGAGAGAGAGAGAGAGAGAGAGAGAGAGAGAGAGAGAGAGAGAGAGAGAGAGAGAGAGAGAGAGAGAGAGAGAGAGAGAGAGAGAGAGAGAGAGAGAGAGAGAGAGAGAGAGAGAGAGAGAGAGAGAGAGAGAGAGAGAGAGAGAGAGATAGATACTTGTTTTAATGCATCACTTGTTCCATTACTCCATGCAGGATGACTTGTGCAGTGCATATACACGCTTATGCTGTGGTCCTGACTGATGCTGCTACAAGATATGAATTAGAATGCTAAGGAGTAAAGGGGCAATAAAGAGGGATGATCAACGTTGGAGTCACAGGTCAGGGGCAATCACAAAGGGTACTATGCCAGTGTGATATGTTAGTACTCTGGTGTGAGACGTGTTGAGAACATGTTCTACATATTAGGTCATTAGTAAAATCAACCATGAACTGGCATTATTTCAAAGTTCACTATAAACCTACTTTATGCAGGTTTATCGTATGAAGAATTCGACCGAGTGACGCATGACAAACGTAACACATTTAAGTCCCTAACATGACACAATGGTGAAATCATTAACAATGGTCTATGACAGACCATACACGAGTAAAACTACAAGGTGTTGTGCTCTCATAGGGGATACTAACAAGGTAAACTTTATATAGATAGATATATAATAAAAAACATACTTCATAGTAACAGAACAATGAAGTAAACAGTAAATGTTTCAGTGATGAACAGTATTAAAAAATGGTTAAGATATAAAGCTCTGAGGAGATGTAGGTGATCTGATCATTCTCTTTGGCAGGTGGGTCATGTGCAGAGGGAATATTGTTACATCTTACAGTTCATTTCCTCTTCTTCTATAAGAAAGAGTCAGAATGTAGTCTCAAGTGACCTTAAAGGAAACAAATATATTTGCTCTAACAGGTTAGGAGAATCACACCACATTCCACAAATTTACCTACAGGTAATAGTAAATTAAACTTCATGAACCACATTTGTAAATTTTGAAATAAAATTACAGTACTGTGTAATATAGTGACTTTTAAAACTTAGAGATTAATAGCATTAAGGCAGTGTGACTTTAGAAAAAAGTATTTAGTCTTTTACTAAGTTTTCTGATCATTATAGTATACAAGTGCTTCAAAATAGGTGTGTGAACATTATTATGTTCTCTTGACAGGCTCCACCTCCTGAAAGTTGCTGAGTTCATCAGATAATCACCAACTCCAAAAGCTATAATATCTTTAATGATTAAAGAAGGTATTGGTATAATCAGAGTAACAGTTATGGTGCTTCAAGGGTTTAACTGTGTTGTGAGGACAACAACAGCACGTTTGTTACAGAGTACTGGAGGTAACACGGGTTGTCAGTCTCTTGCACGGTACAGGATGTGTACAGTAAATCATGGAGTTATTTTTATGAGACCAGGACAGGAAGGTGAGCGACAGGCATACAATCTTCAAAGGGCCTGTCTCTCAAGGTTCCGTCTACAACCATCAAGTGGATAAATAAAAACAAACCAAAAGTGCATCAAGATACCCAATTCATTTCAGGGGACAACACACACTAGTCAACCCCTAAATGGGCTACATTTTCTATAAACGTGCACCTGAGCTACAGCATCAGCTGCTACTTATTTTGGTAATAGGCACTTGCTGTCTTCTACAAAGTATTGTATTCCTGGATGTTTCCATTAACTACTTTCAAAATTTACTGTGTCCACTCTACATGAGCTCTAATGGAGTACTGTACTCAAAAATCACTTTATATATATATATATATATATATATATATATATATATATATATATATATATATATATATATATATATATATATATATATATATATATATATATATATATATATATATATACATATATATATATATATATACAGCTAGACCCCGACTTACGACTGCTTCACTTACGACCGTCGGACTTACGACCGCAGCAGTTGACCATTTTTTTTTTTTCTTCCAAATGACACACGCATTTTCTATACCGAAACGTTTCCAGTTAATGTAGTCTCCATGTATAATTAGAAAATTATGGGGGCCCCATGTGCATTCAGCTGACTACATTAAAGGTAAGTGCTCAGTCACACTGTATCCATTCCTCATTATTTATTACTTTCACTGTACTGTACTGTATTTCATTGTAGATTTTTTATTAATTTTTTTTTTATCTATGTCGGACTTACGACCATTCGGACTTACGACCTGGATTTGGGTCCCTAACCCCGTCGTAAGTCGGGGTCTAGCTGTATATATATATATATATATATATATATATATATATATATATATATATATATATATATATATATATATATATATATATATATATATATATATATATATATATATATATATATATATATATATATATATATATATATATATATATATATATATATATATATATATATATATATATATATAATTTGTGTGTATACACAGAGCAAAATGCGCAATATTACTGACAAGACTCAAGTGTCCAAGGCTAACAAAATTTTTTACTCTGAATTAAAAAAACCACAAAATATAGCCAAAATATAAGGCTACTCAGAGTGCCTAATGCTACACTGGGTAACATGATGTTATTGGGATGGGACACGCCTAGCCACCTGATGCTGACACACAGTGAGTTGCAGCCATCATAATGTCGGTACCTCAGCTGGCTGGACACCTTCATGATGACTTGCAGATGAAGTTGGTTCTGCTTGGATACCAATAGCTTCCTCTACACCTTGAGACTGTTGCATAGCATTACTCTTTGACATGTCTGGAGATGTGCTTTTGGGTATATCCAGTGAGGTGCTTCTGGACATCACCTTCGTGGTTATGTCTTTCGTCAGCTCACTTGATGAACCCTTATGTGCCTCTTTTGTTATACTTCTGGTCACAACCTCCTCAGACATGCCTTCAGCCATCACCTCTGTAGATGTGCCTTTGGATATCACCGATGTAGCTGGGTCTATAGACACCTCATTCTGAGTGCCATTAGACACAACTTCTGATGATATGCTTTTAGGTAACTTGGAGGTTTTGCCTTTGGACAGGTCTGTGAGTTTGCCCTTTGATAATTCACTTGGTGTTTGCTTGGAGAGCTTACAATGTGCAGTCTTGGTAACTTTCCCAGGATTTTCCTTGGCCGCCTCTGAGAGGCTAGTTTTGGAGAGTGAAGTCTTGTCTTCATCTTCCGTTGGTCCTGGATTATCATCGCCACTTTCATGGTTTGCCTCTTCTAAGGCTCTCTGACTTTTTCTTTTTTGCTTTTCCAGTTGTTTCTGCTCTTTTTCTAAACGCTCATTCCGCTAAAAGATCAAATCACATGGTTAGTTATACTGTATGGGAAATCAAGTGATGATTCTCCATACACAGTTCAATAATTATGTCAGTTGCCCTGACTATATTAGAGCAATAAGAAAAGCTATTCTATGTTGTGCTGCAAGACCCGGCAGCCTGGTGCATCGTGTACAGATTATTAAATCTACAAGAGCACGGCTACTCAACAGCTGTAACAAGCAGAGATCAGTTACACAAGGATACCAATGGGGGTAACAAGGAGTCATTCCCTCATATGTCAAGTAGATTAAAATATGTCAACTTCAGCTCCTCACTAGAATTTAGTCATCTACAATGCGGAAGTGAGTTACATCACTACAACCCATTTGTAACAATAGAAGAGTCATGTGGTACTGTACTCGGTTCTTAAAGGAAAATAGTAATATCCTAGAGCGAAGAATTATTTACCATGACACTGCATAGAGAGAGATATTACTCTCACAAATATAAAATTGTAACTAAAAACACAGCCATGAAGTAACATAATCAATCAAAAAGAACAACCTCCAGGGAACAACAAGTATCTGCTGCACACACTGGGCCATTAATCAACAATATAACTTCACCAACTTATCTGATTTACTCAAACTTAATAACAGGACAAGTTAATTTTTTACAAACCAATTTCCAAATTAATGCTTTGGAATATATGCTGTAATTGCTCCTAAATTTCAGTAAATAAGAGGAACTACTGTACTGTACTGTAATCATTTTTTCATAGTTTACAGGGTGTTGTACTGAGCTTATTTTATAAGACAAAGTCAACCCAATACTGTACGTATACAGATGTGTATTGTAAATCAATAACTGCACTCATTGCAGCGCAAAAACTGCGTGTTGTGATATTTTTTGTATAATGTGCTTATGAATACATATACAGTACTATCTGGTAATCTTGAATTTAATGGGACTAAAATCATGAGTGCCATTCCTCAAATTCAGTGAGTCTGGGAACTCTCTGAAGTATCACATACAGCTACATTATAAAATTTATCATTCATAAACTAAACCAAACTAACCCAACCTAACCTAAATTAGAAATGTTTTGGTGAAGCTCAAGCTCAGGTTAGGTTAGGTTAGGGTTTTGTTGCTCGAGAATTCACCTAACAAGCAATTTTTCATGAATGTATATCACTTATTAAGCAGGGCCTTACTATATGCAGTACATATAGTATATACCTGAACATTACACACATCTTTGTTGGTCAAGTCCAGTCTCAAATAAGCTCACTATGAAACTGAGTCTGCATATCACACAATTTACAGGAGACTACAGGGTCTTAATTATGATTAACTCTAGGGAACACATCACCTATGTCCCAACACAGCCCAGGGATGTGTCACATACGCCTTTTGTTGGAAACTACAGAATTTTATTCCCTTGGCTCTAGCTCCTCCATGTCACTCCTTTATTTAGTGATACAATACAGTACTGTGCATAGATGATTGTTGGTAAATGGTCCAGTATTAACCCAAGCAGATAGAGGAAGCATTCATTTATTGATTATGAGGAGGCACCAGACAACAGTGCTTTTGCACAATAAAATATATTGTAGTCTTTTGACTGAAGTTCAAAGTGTTTACACGGAGTTACATGATCAGGCGAGACAAGTCTATGGGGAACAGGCTCGGCCTTTATGTTAATGTAAAATTATATTACAGTGTGTGATGACGAGTCTGGTGGAAATGACTTAACTGCAGTGCAAGTACAGTATGTGTTTACACAAAAAGTCACTGTACAGTGAGAAGAAGGTTCTTGGTGATTGAGATCAGTTTAAATGTATTCCCAGGATGAGTGTGAGATGTAGCACAGAGCGACAAGTGTTAATCACTAGTACACTGTTAGGTGGGAGAACTGATGTAACAATACTGTACATGAGAGATGTGGAGGTAAGACAAAAGCTTATCTAATGTAGCATATCTTACCTTACCTATGTGTTGAGAGAGAGAGAGAGAGAGAGAGAGAGAGAGACAGAGACAGAGACAGAGACAGAGAGAGAGACAGAGACAGAGAGAGAGAGAGACAGAGAGACAGAGAGAGAGACAGAGAGACAGAGAGAGAGAGAGAGAGAGAGAGAGAGAGAGAGAGAGAGAGAGAGAGAGAGAGAGAGAGAGAGAGAGAGAGAGAGAGAGAGAGAGAGAGAGAGAGAGAGAGAGAGAGAGAGACAGAGAGAGAGAGACAGAGACAGAGAGAGAGAGACAGAGACAGAGACAGAGACAGAGACAGAGAGAGACAGAGAGAGAGAGAGAGAGAGAGAGAGAGAGAGAGAGAGACAGAGAGAGAGAGACAGAGAGAGAGAGAGAGAGAGAGAGACAGAGACAGAGAGAGAGACAGAGACAGAGACAGAGAGAGAGACAGAGACAGAGACAGAGACAGAGAGAGAGAGAGAGAGAGAGAGACAGAGACAGAGAGAGACAGAGAGAGACAGAGAGAGAGAGAGACAGAGACAGAGACAGAGAGAGAGAGAGAGAGAGAAAGAGAGAGAGAGAGAGAGAGAGAGAGAGAGAGAGAGAGAGAGAGAGAGAGAGAGAGAGACAGAGACAGAGACAGAGACAGAGACAGAGAGAGAGAGAGAGAGAGAGAGAGAGAGAGAGAGAGAGAGAGAGAGAGAGAGAGAGAGAGAGAGAGAGAGAGAGAGAGAGAGACAGAGACAGAGACAGAGACAGAGACAGAGAGAGAGAGAGAGACAGAGAGAGAGAGAGAGAGAGAGAGAGAGAGAGAGAGAGAGAGAGAGAGAGAGAGAGAGAGAGAGAGAGAGAGAGACAGAGAGAGAGAGAGAGAGAGAGAGACAGAGAGAGAGAGAGAGAGAGAGACAGAGAGAGAGAGAGAGAGAGAGAGAGAGAGAGAGAGAGAGAGAGAGAGAGAGAGAGAGACCTATGATACAATGATAGGAGTTATTAAGGATGTCACCTAGGTTGGTGAGTTCTGAAGTGACTAAAGAGGCGGCCGATACGAGACCGGCAGAGTCGTTCACAGATGTTGCACATGTGGGGACTACATTTAGTGTGGGAGGGGCGGCAGCAGCATCTTTCCAGCATTGGCACTTGTCTGCCTCGTTATTCAGTCGAGCATACTTGAAAGAATTGACACCTTCTTGTGTGGTGCTCCTCCACACATTATGGTGTGGAGTAATTGTCTCCCAGGTGAGGGGTTCGATTTGGCACTTTTTCAGGTTTGTCTTCAGACTATCCTTATACCTTTTCAGTTGCCCACCAGCGTTATGTTTACTATACATTAGGTGACTGCAAGTAGCTGCTTTGGCAGTCTACTGTCGTCCATGCTCGTAACATGGCCAGTCCAGCATAGCTGTTCATGGATAATGGTAGCCTCGATGCTCCTACAATTGGTGTCAGCGAGAACACTGGCATTTATTCTCTTGTCTTCCCAGCGAACTCAGAGGATGCAACGTAGACTACGTTGCTGAAAGTTTTCAAGTGCCTTGAGGTGCCTCCTGTATGTGACCCATGTCTCGCTGCCATACAGCAGGGTGGGGAGGACCACTGCTCGATATACGTTTAACTTTGTAGATAATTTCAGCTCCCTACAGCTGAAGACAGTTTCGGAGTCTGCCAAAGGCTTGAGATGCACATTTGATCCGATGCTGAGGCTCTTCATCGATGCCCGTGGTGGTGGACAGGTAGGAGCCGAGATACTGAAAGTGGGTAACATTAGAGAGGGTAGTACCGTTAAGCTGGATGGATGGTGGAGGTGTGGCTGAACCAGGGGCAGGCTGAAAGAGAATCTGAATCTTACGTACATTCACCTCATGGCCAAAGTGTGCATACGCATCTGCATAGGTGTTCAGGATCTCCTGTAGGTCGCGTTCAGTGTGAGCGACAAGGGTGAGGATGTCTGCATACTAAGGCTCAGTAATGGAAGCTGCCGACACCTTTGTTCGTGCCTGGAGTCGTCTATGTTGAAGAAACCCTTCAACCGGTATTCGATGTCCACCCTATCGGCTAAATTGGCATTGCCATGAGTAAGGAAGGCAGCCAAGAAGATGGAAAAGAGAGTTGGTGCCAGTACACACCCTTGTTTAACCCCTGTTTGGATGGGGAAGAACTCTGACTGGGTGCCATTGTGCGAGAGACCGCCGTTCATGCCATCGCGTTTTTTTTTTTTTTTTTTTTAACGGGAATTAGCCCACCCGGGCACAGGTCAAACGACCCACAACAAGGCCTGGGGGCGAAAAAAAAAGAACAGAAAAAAATTGAAAATAGAGAAGAAAAAGGTTATACTGTGTTAACCTACACCACGATGCCAGAAAACCAGCTTTTTAAAGTGAGACAGGTTGTATAAGTATGGAAACACAGAAGAAGGCAGAGAATTCCACAGTTTGGCTGTGTGAGGAAAGAAGGATGTACTATAATGGGTTATCCTCGTGTGACCGACATCCACACAGAAACGGTGGGCACCACAGGCAAGACGTGTGTTACGAGCCCACGGCCTTGCCGGCGGTTCATAGGATGCCAAATCCACCGAACATTACCCATTAAAGTACCTGTAAAAGAGAGAGAGTGAAGCAACATTGTGGCGAAGAGAAAGGGAAGAGAGTTAATAAGTCGAAATGCCTTTGATTCCACCCTATCTAACAGTTGGACAGAAGAAGAGCCACCCCAGATATGAGAGCAGTACTCCAGGTAAGGATGAATGATTCCCTTATATACTTGGAGCAACAGATCAGGAGTGAAGTAGCTACGGTATCTGTACAGCCTTCCCAACTCCTTGACAATGGCAATGAATTTTGATGGGGAGCCAAAATGGCTGAAGGTCCACCAGAGGGCTTTCCTGTTGACCGAGTCGAAGGCCTTGGTTAGGTCGATGAAAGCAATGTACAGGTCACGACGCTGTTCTCTGCACTTTTCCTGTATCTGGCAGGCAGCAAAGATCATGTCAGTAGTGCCACGTGATGGTCTGAAGCCACACTGAGATTCTGGGAGGAAGTTTTCTGCCACAGGAAGAAGTCTG